GGGATCCGTCATCGGTCCCTGGCACGTCCGAAATGTGCGGTGGAGGATGATCTGGGCTCCTGGGAGCTGGCCTCGCAGATAGTGGCCTCGGCGATGGACTTCTTCCCCTGGATGCTTGTGCATGTCTCCAAGGAGGTAACTTGCGACGAAAACTTGGTGATCTTCTGCGCCTTGCGGGTGGCGACGGTGGCGTCGGCAATCTCCGTCGACGCAATGGACTCCTTGATCTCCTTCCGGTCTCGGCCATCCTTTTGATCTCAACCTGTTCTGTCCTAAGATGTCCAACATCTGTTGCAAGCCCTTGTACCAAACGTCGAATCTCATCAAGGTGATCTGATGTAGGATGTCCTGCAGTGGGGTGATCTGATGTAGGATGAGATGAATGTCCACCTGAAACATCATCGGCTGGAGCATCGCGCACGTCACGGCTTGAAGCCACATTGCCTGGTGATCGTGCCAACCTTGACATGTTCGGGATCAAATGTCGAATTTGTCCCAAGCTCGCAGCCATGTCCTTACATCCATGACAAACTCCACCACAACGCATCTCTCCCCACATCCAAGATGATGCATGAATGAGAACAACGTCATAACCAAGGACCTTGAGACACCTGTAGGCAGCAAATCCTTGTCCCACTGACCTGTGGCGACCTGACTTGCACTCCAAGTCCACCAGCACCTTACTGTCGGCTTCCTGCTGTGTGACGAACTGGAGGATGTTGTTGAGATGTTGGATGAACTTGTCCACCTTGCTCATAGTCTCAAGGATTCCATGATGCCAGCCCACATGCGACCTAAGGTTAACGTCCTGATCAGGATCGTTAATGTCCTCACAGTTGATGCTCAAAGTGCTCCTGCTGGTTCTGCACGCATGTTGTTGAAATCTACGTCCACGAGTCATGATGATCACCTTCCTGTCACTGCGCAGCTCTTCGTTCAACTTCGTCTGCAAGATGTCATAGTCCCTCGAATGGAAACCACACATGTCATGGTCAGCCATGGCAACTTCCGATGTGGATGCTGTGTATGCGATATTGTACTTTCTGTGACACTTCGGGATTTGGGGAAGTTCATTCGACGGTGTGTTGATGATGTTGGTCAACCCTTCAGTCAAGTTCATCACAAGTAAACCTGATTTTGAACACCTCTTGATATTCAATGGTTGATCTTTGATGGAAATCACTCCTTTTGCTAGGTCCTTCACTAGGCCTAACTTGGTTTGCGCATGCAATGACAGAAGCAATGGACTGTTGCCTGTCGACAATTGATATGAATCCAACTCCCCATGCATGTTCCCGTCTGGAAGCAGCAGCGAAAAAGGAATAGATCTCACACCTTCGGTCTTGGTACTACCACTTCCCAGACCAGCGAAACTCTTACAACCGTCATCCTTCAATGGCATGCTGTAACCCAATCGGGCCAGTCGTGCTTCTGCATCGACTGCCCAGGCTTTGCTATGACAAGTGCTGTTGCAACCTTCATCCAACACTGCAAAAACATGGGGTGACTTGGCAATGTCAACAGTTTCATAGTTCATGTAAACCAAGTCTTGAGGGTATTGACTGTCACTTCCATGCAAACAAATGCCAACGTACCCAGCTAACTCCCTGCCCGAGGGGTCGCCGTGCCCATCTTCATTGACAAGAGAAAAACTGTCCTCTTCCTCTGTCACGTCATTGATGGCTTGATGGAGTAGTTCATGTAGACGTGCACGGGTCATGACCTCAGATTGACAGGTTTCGGTAACAAGAGTGGCAAACAGGGGCAACAATTCTTCCAACTGGACTGGATTCAATCCATCCGATTCTTCAACCAATGATTCAACAATGGGGACTGCTCGAACTGATGCTGTTTCAACCTTCTTTGCAATGGCAACTCGCTCCTTACGAATCTGCATAGGAGCTTCATCAATGAAAGTGCAACACTTCTTGCAGAAGGTACGGTGTGTTGATTTGCTGGATCCCCTAAAATCGGTGTCATCATGAGGGCAATTCTCAGGGGACATCAACGGTACCATGTCACGCCTTGTTGTTTCGGAATGACCGCACACAAGACAGGTCTTCCTGATGGTGTACCCCGTAGAACCTTGTTTTGTAAACTCACGACATTCCTGACACTTGTTCGGCAAAGGAGGATTTGGGGGTTTCTTTCTGCCAGTTCCCCGAGCCAACAACAAATCTCGGTGCTCGACATGCTCAACAGGGACTTCGCGCAAGTGAATCCCATCAGCACCAACCACAAAGTATTTGTCAACCCAATTCAACCATGTGACATAGTATGGACTCTTGGGGGTATGTTTCTTGGCATGATGATAGTACCCTGTCTGTTCAAACAACACATTCCAAAAAGACAAACCCTTGAACTGTCCAACAGGAAAGATGCACCCATGGTCCTCGGGTCTCATTGTAACATCGAGATCCCGGGAAATCAAGCCAACGTTGCTGCTGGATGCTGCTGCACGTGAAGGTCGACTGCTGGGCTTCGCTTGTCGAACTGCCATCATAGCAACTGCATCTCTGTCACGGTCAGGCGAAGCTGTCAAAGTCACACCATCATCATCTGAAGAATCGCTCATGTCGGCAAAGTGAGCTGCGGACTTTGGGGCTGACTTTCCAGGGGCTCCGGCTTTCGACCCCGGGAATTTACATTCCGGGTCACCGGCCCAGTGCCCTATGAATCCGCACCTCAAACATTTGCTCTTCGACTTCAGCTCTGTGAGCTTACGTCTCCTCTGATCGATAGTGAGGTTGGACTTCACGATCTTTCCTTTGCCTTTTCCTTTGGGCTTCCCGAAGGATTTTCCTTTGCCACCTGCTTTCCCCATTGCAGTGAAAGCAGCAAGTTGTAGCTGGATGGCGTCTCCTGCTTGTCGATCATCTTCTGCACCTTCAACTTCAAGCAAGCTGTTCAATGCAACTGCTTCGTACTCATCGACGTCGTCAAAGTAATCAAATTCGTTGTCACCTTCTAGGTTTCCTGGCTCCTCTTCTGCAATGTCACCAAGCATGCCAACATATGAATCATCCTCCCAGGATTGATCCACAGCTTCATCCCAAGATTCTGCATGTTCCTCCCCATCATCGGGGTAGGCTGCATAGGCTGCTTGGGAATACGATCCCTTCGAAGAAGGTTTGCCTTTGCCATAACCCTTGCCTGACGACTTGCCATGCTGTTGAGGATTACCACGTCCTGTCCAGGATCGTGATCCTTCTCGCAAGTGAGTGCCACTGTAGTTCTCGATCAGCACCTTGCCAACACCTTCAAAATCTTTAGTGTCTGCACAGGCCTTCACAACGAGGATCTCCTGTCGATTGAGCCCACTCAACTCCAACATCAACTCTGTCCTCAAGCTGTCCGAAAACACCATTGTGTCATCCAACTCGCAAAGCATGTGCCACCAACGTCGTCTCCTCTGAACATAGGAAAGCATGGGTTCGCCTGGCTGGCGAGACAAAGGTCCACCTTGTTTCTGTCCTGCACGAAAAAGTTCCTTTGCTTCCTCACGGGCTCTTGGAAACACATGGGATTTGATCTCACCCACAAGTTTCACAAGGCCACCAGGTTTGGACAACACTTCAAGTCCAAGATCCCTAGCTATTGAGAAAGCATCTCCTCTCAGTCCTTCAATCACCTTGTTGACCAATGGTCCACGATCAATGTCTGTCTTCTGCTTGCCGGACTTCGAGGATTTTCGGCTCGCTCCAGACTTCGGAGTCGAGACTGCTGATGTAGGCTGGGCTGCTTGAGTAGCACCCGACAAATCTGGAAAAGTAACATACTCATCTGCGTCTTCTGCGGCAGGCTCTGTTGCTGTGGTCCCAACGGGATCCGCAGGCTTACTTGTCTCCTCCTCCAATTGTTGCTCATAAAGACGAATCCGAAGGAGAGTCCTGAACTGCCAATCATGAAAGTTCGCCGCATCACCTGCATAGATGTATGATCCACTCTTCGTCTCAAGTGGTGCCGACGAATGGCGTCCCTGATTGAAACGAAGGCCATTGATCGACATGATGCTCGCTCCGTTCGGAGTCGAACAAGAAGAAAAACGTTAACAAGTGTCTGCCCTGGTCAGGGTCAGACAGATTCCCGAACCACGACACACTCGAAGTTCAGTTGATTCCCAAAGTTACCAGACTCAAATTCACAAAGGGGTTCCCTGGGTCACTGACGTACCACCGGATGCAGGTCGTCACCTGCTCCGCTACCAATCTGAATTGGAAACGGGATCGTCAAATGCCCAACTTTTACCACGGCAGCGCGGTATGACTCAAGGGCCCTAAAGCCAAATGTCAACGGGGGCATGTGATCACTTGGCTATACAAAATATACATTAGACAGGTCAAACTCACAAAGGTTTTGGTTTACATGAAGTTTGAAAGTTAACATTAAAAAAAAACATGCGTGTGAGTTTGCCAGACCCCAGGGAACTCCACAGGATGGTTTCGCGCAGGTTTCGCGCAGTTGGGAACTCCACAGGATGGTTTCGCGCAGGTTTCGCGCAGTTGGGAACTCCACAGGATGGTTTCGCGCAGGTTTCGCGCAGTTGTGAACTCCACAGGATGGTTTCGCGCAGGTTTCGCGCAGTTGGGAACTTCACAGGATGGTTTCGCGTAGTTTAGGCGCAGTTGAAGTTATTTTTTAAAATTATAACATTTTTATGACATGCTTTTTTTAATTAAATGTTTCTTCTTTTTTCAAATAGTATTGGCTCTCTTTCAGTTACCTTAACTATTATTTCTTATTATTTCATTTTATTTTATTTTTCAATATTTTATTTACTTTTAAATTTCTTATTATATTATTTATTATCTTTTTTTCTTTTTTATTTATTGGTCGCTGAAGCAGGGGGGCCTTCTTTCAGGCCTGTCCCCTGGTGAGACAGCCTGAGGTGGTTTGGCTTTCTTTCAAACCTGTTTTTGGTTACTTTTCTTCCTTGTGGCTTTCTCTCAAGCCAAGTTTTTGTGCATGCCAATTTCTTCCCTGTGGCTTTCTTTCAAGCCTCACAGGTCAGAAGCATCCACCTCTTTCTCTCTTTTTTCTTTTCCCTCCTCCTGCCCCTCCTCCTCCTCCTTGACCACTTTCTTCCTTTCCTTTCGCTTCTTGGCTGTTTTCCCCTCCTCCATATCCTTGTCATCTTCCTTCTCCTTCTCCTTGGGCTTCTCTTCCTTTTGGGGCTTCTTCTCCTTCTTTGCAGCTTCCTTTTCCTTGGAAACCTTTTTCTCCTTTCGCTCCTCCTCCTTTGCAGCTTTCTTTTCCTTGTCCTTGGGGTCCTTTTTCTTTGGCTGCTCCTCCTCCTCCTTTTCCTCTTTCTCCTCCTCCTCCTCCTGCCAGTCTGGCTGCTCCTCCTCCACAAATACCTCCTCCTCTTCACTGTATTCATATGAATAAGAAGAGGAGGAGGATCTGCCGGCTTTTTGTTTAGGCCTTCTTTCAGGCCTGCTGCTGCTGCTGTCCTTCCTTTTTGGCCTTCTTTCAGGCCTGCTGCTGCTGCTGTCCTTCCTTTTTGGCCTTCTTTCAGGCCTGGCCCCTGGCCCTTCCTGCAGGACAACCCCTCTGGCAGGGCTGGGGCTCATCTCCTGCTTGCTGAGCCATGCAGCCTTCTCTTCCAAGAAGGCTGCCTTCTCTTCCAGCAACTGCTTTCTTTCAAGCATTAGTTGCTCCTCCTCCTCCTTCACCTCCTTCTCCCTCTCCTTGATCATCCTCCATTTCCTGCTCCCTTCATGCAAAGGCTGAACCTTGTCTTCCTTAAAGCCTTCTTTCAGGCCCTTCTCTTTCCTGGCTTGGACTTCAGGGTCTCTGGCCCTCAAAGCCTTTCTCGCTTCCCTTCCCCTCTTGCCCCTGGCTTCTTGCCTGAAAGTGTCCCAATCCTCCTCCCCTGGTCGATGCTCAGGGACAAAAGCTGGCCTTCTTTCAGGCCTGCTGCTGCTTGCACCTGACCCCTTTTCTTTGGCCTTGGCTTTGCCTTTGCTTTTCCCGTTTTGGCCTTCTTGCAGGCCTTCCCTGGCTGCCTCTGCAGGGCTTGGGCCAAAGAGGCGGCCCTGTGTGCTTCTGGGAGCCTCCTCCTCCTGTCTCCTCTGCCCCCTGCGCAGGGAGTTGTCAGAGGATGATTCCTCCTCCTCATCCCTGTCCCTCCACCTTCTCTCCCTGTCTCTCAGCTCCCTATCAGGCTCCCTTTCCCAGCCAGTCCAGGTGTCGCCATCATCCCAATCCTTTTCATGACCCCAGGGCACATAGCCAGCATAAGCTCGGCCTACCCACCAGGTCATGTGGTTTCAGATGGCCTTCTTGCAGGCCTTGAGCTGGAAGATTTGCAAGTGATTGAATTGCTGGGCCTTCTTGCAGGCCTTAAGTTGAAGTGCGCTTAGAGGTTGAAAGGTGCCCCCCCACCTATCTTCGGTTTTGAGGCTCAAAAGGCTGCAGGCAACAAACAGATTGCTTTCGCCTACTATGTTAAACCCTTTTTGGTGAACATAACACCCCTGGAACACTCAGGTCATAACCTAAGTACAAAAAGAATGACAGTGAAAACGGTGAGGTTTTTCTTTAAATTTCGTTGGCTATCCCCTGCCCCACAAAAACAAACACTTTACCCAAACCCCAAACCACAATTTTTTTTGGCCAAGAAAAAAGTCCTGGCCATGTGCTTTGCACATGGCTGCGGCCTGAACCCTCCTAGTGGCCTTCTTTCAGGCCTTGCCCTGTTAGAAAGGTGTATGCCTTCTTTCAGGCATTCAATCTACATTTTTGACTAAATCGTCTCTTTTTTCTTTCATGTTTTCCTTTGTTATGTCCTCCTCCATGGCCACCTTTTCCAGCTCCAAAATCACAGCGTGATGCCCACCTGGGAAAATCTTTCCCATTCTTTTGGTGCAGCCAATGATGAGCTTCCAATCTCTTCCAAAAAGGCCCATGAGATAGGCTTGGTCCTTGCCCATGACTTTTTTCACTGCTGACCATGGCCTTCTTTCAGGCCTTGGCCCTTCTGCTGCCACCAATGGTTCTGGCTGTGGTGCTGCTTCTTTTTTTGGTCCTTGCTTCTCTGTGGGCCTTCTTTCAGGCCTTAAGCTTTTTGCCTTGGGAAAGGAAGCTTTCTTCGAAGCTGGCTTTTTTTTGCATTCTTTGCTGGCTGGCTTTTTTTGGATTTCTGACCTTCTTTCAAGCCCTGGTCTGCTCTCAACCAACTCTTGGGCTGCCTCTTGTGCAGCTTTATCCAGCTGCTCCTTGCAGCTTACCCTCATTTTTTCCAGAATTGTCATGTTTCTGGAAAAGCAATCTTTCACTTCTTCTTCTTCTTTTGCAGCCTTTGGAGAATTGAGAATGGCTGGCCAGCCATGGGAGTCCACAGAAACATCTGAAACTTGTAGTTTCAAAGTTCTGGCCTTCTTGCAGGCCTGCTCCTCGGGTTCTTTCAAAGAAGCAGAGCTGGAACTTCCTTGGCCACCAGCCTCTGCAGCTTTCGCAGAAGAAGTCTCCTTGGCAGCTTTGGCCTTCTTGCAGGCCTGGTCATCCTCAGGACCTGGGGCTGCTTTCTTGCAAGCATCTGGCAAATCCACAATTTCAAGAATGGATTGCCTTTCAGCCCCTGTAGCTCCCTGCAGGCACTGCCTTAGTTTCGAAGAGTCTCTTTTCAGTCTTCTCACATGGCTGAGCAAGCAGACAAATTGACTTGCAAACTTGCCTGCCCACAGGTCATCCTTCCACTCACTGTCGTTGTGAGTGTACCCATATTTGAGGATGCACTGCTTCAACTGCCCAGAGGGAATTTCTCCTTCTGAGATTTTGTAGAACTCCTTGACATACTTTGCATTGTGGTGCAAACCTGCAGAGCTCACAGCTGTGCTTACACTTTTCTCCTGATAGTCACCAAGTTTAAAAGCATCAGCACCTTGGGTGGCCACAGCTGTCTCAAAAATTTTTCGCAAAGCATCCAAGTCCACTGGTGGCACCAATGACCTGCGTGCTCCACCCTTGGATGTCATGGCTTTCTTTCAAGCCCTAGCAAGCTGAAAATCCTCAGATTCAAATCCCTTGAAGATGATTGATCTTTCAAGCCCACAACACACCAGCTGAAACCCCAAAACTTTGAAGAATGGCCTTCTTTCAGGCCCAGACCAGGCAATGAGTTTAAACCTGCTATAAGCAAAAACAGCTCTGGCACATATGAGTATGAAATAGAAGCTTGCGCGTTGTGAATGCCTCTAATGGCCCCCTACATGCTTGAAAAATGGATCTGACAATTGTAGCTGAAGACTGATGATGGTCTTGACTTGCTGATGATACTACTATATGATATTGATCATGCTATTGATCGATATTGATTGGAAATATTGATCTTTTCTTTCAATCCTCGATATTGAAAAACATATTTTCCTGGTATTGAAAAAAATCATTTTCAATATTATTGATCAGGATTGATCAGGATTGATTTTTTTCAATATCGGATCCTCAGGGTGTTTGTCCTGGCGCAACTGCTGAATAACGGTGGCATTGTGGTTGCCAAAAGCATTCAGCAGTTACGGCAGGAGGACTTAGCATCAAATGTATCTTCGCACGGCGCGTCAATCGATGTCTTTGTTCTCAACTCTCAGTTTGTAAGTACGTCCGAGACCAAAAAGGAGTAGATGAAAATCCAGAAACAGTCTCCATCCAGTCTGCCTGTAGTGATACCATTCTGGCAGACTGCATGCATGCTTTCCAGTGCTCCGACAGCTGTTATACCGCAAGAGTCTGCATCCGGTCTGCAGTGAAAAATCCAGAAAAATCCTCCATCCACGTGCCTCGATTGCATCAAACCTTGACGCAGAGCAAACACAGGAAACCCAGGGTCTCTGCCTGGACCGTCCAGCCACAGACGCTGGGAACTGACTCGCAAGGTCGAACTGATGCTGTATCTGTAACTGTTCCTGAAGATTCGGTGGCAGAATTGATTCTGCACTGCTCACGCACGTCAGCTCTAACCCGCGCGACCCGGCCCAACCCGCTCGCGGACCCAGGGCTGCGCCGCGCAGACCGTCGAGGCTGAAAAAAAAAGCGGTTGCATGTTGAGTGGTTCAGCATGCTGTCTGTTGGGTAATAGCGTTGCGTCGTAGTCTTGACCTGGTCGGTCTTTTTCCAGGCTGCCCGCTCGGGCAGCCTGGCCCACCCTCCCTACCTCCCCACATGGGGCCTGCCAGCAACTCTGCCGCAACACTTACAGCAGAAGCACCGCCAAGCCACATCAGAGGAACCGCATCATCACAGAAACCGCCCGTCAAAGAAAAGGTGGATGTCAGGTTGTGCCACGCCTGCCACGCAAAGTGCCGCGGCGTCACAGGCGCCCAAGCCGGTCCAAGCGCGCCACCCAGTGCCATCTGTCGCACGCCTGCCACGCAAAACGACGGTGGATGTGACTTTGTGCCACGCCTGCCACGTGAAACAAAGGTGGATGTCAGGTTGTGCCACGCCTGCCACGCAAAGTGCCGCGGCGTCACAGGCGCCCAAGCCGGTCCAAGCGCGCCACCCAGTGCCATCTGTCCCACGCCTGCCACGCAAAACGACGGTGGATGTGACTTTGTGCCACGCCTGCCACGTGAAATGAAGGTGGATGTCAGGTTGTGCCACGCCTGCCACGCAAAGTGCCGCGGCGTCACAGGCGCCCAAGCCGGTCCAAGCGCGCCACCCAGTGCCATCTGTCCCACGCCTGCCACGCAAAACGACGGTGGATGTGAGTTTGTGCCACGCCTGCCACGTGAAATGAAGGTGGATGTCAGGTTGTGCCACGCTGCCACGCAAAGTGCCGCGGCGTCACAGGCGCCCAAGCCGGTCCAAGCGCGCCACCCAGTGCCATCTGTCGCACGCCTGCCACGCAAAACGACGGTGGATGTGACTTTGTGCCACGCCTGCCACGTGAAAGAAAGGTGGATGTCAGGTTGTGCCACGCCTGCCACGCAAAGTGCCGCGGCGTCACAGGCGCCCAAGCCGGTCCAAGCGCGCCACCCAGTGCCATGAGTGCCACGCCTGCCACGCAAAACGACGGTGGATGTGACTTTGTGCCACGCCTGCCACGTGAAACGAAGGTGGATGTCAGGTTGTGCCACGCCTGCCACGCAAAGTGCCGCGGCGTCACAGGCGCCCAAGCCAGTCCAAGCGCGCCACCCAGTGCCATCTGTCCACGCCTGCCACGCAAAACGACGGTGGATGTGAGTTTGTGCCACGCCTGCCACCAAAGGTGGATGTCGTGCCACGCCTGCCACAAAGTGCCGCGGCGTCACAGGCGCCCAAGCCGGTCCAAGCGCGCCACCCAGTGCCATCTGTCGCACGCCTGCCACGCAAAACGACGGTGGATGTGACTTTGTGCCACGTGAAATGAAGGTGGATGTCAGGTTGTGCCCGCCTGCCACGCAAAGTGCCGCGGCGTCACAGGCGCCCAAGCCGGTCCAAGCGCGCCACCCAGTGCCATCTGTCCCACGCCTGCCACGCAAAACGACGGTGGATGTGACTTTGTGCCACGCCTGCCACGTGAAATGAAGGTGGATGTCAGGTTGTGCCACGCCTGCCACGCAAAGTGCCGCGGCGTCACAGGCGCCCAAGCCGGTCCAAGCGCGCCACCCAGTGCCATCTGTCGCACGCCTGCCACGCAAAACGACGGTGGATGTGACTTTGTGCCACGCCTGCCACGTGAAACAAAGGTGGATGTCAGGTTGTGCCACGCCTGCCACGCAAAGTGCCGCGGCGTCACAGGCGCCCAAGCCGGTCCAAGCGCGCCACCCAGTGCCATCTGTCGCACGCCTGCCGCGCAAAACGACGGTGGATGTGACTTTGTGCCACGCCTGCCACGTGAAATGAAGGTGGATGTCAGGTTGTGCCACGCCTGCCACGCAAAGTGCCGCGGCGTCACATGTGTGTGTGTGTGTGTACCGTCTGAATAGACGTAAAACTTCTTTTACTTATTACATATGTATATACGCGGGGGGTCACCGGGGTCCCTGGGAGGTCGGTGACCAACGAAGACACCTCCCGGGGACCCGTGTAAACGTACCCGCGGGACTGTGGTGACGCACCTGGGCGCAATTATAAGACGCAGCTGGTGGTCACCATAGTCCCATATATATATATAATTTCATCCTATCTAACTAAATAACTAATCTAATCTGCATGTCACAGGACTCAGTTCCTGCCGGATCATATAATGATCCATTCTTGTCTAGTGTGATTTCCATGGTGGCTCCGACATGGTGCCATGGAGCCAATTGAGGCAACCCTTTTCAGGGTGAGTGTTGACTGTCCTGACTGCCGAATTAACACATTTTAATTTAGTAATTCATCTAAGTAAATCGCAACAGCTGGCCTTTCCGTTTTGCACCTTTTTGTGAAGTCCCGCGCTTCCGGCTGTCCCTTGTGAAACCTGTGGAATGCATTCCTTACTGAATGAAATCGTTCTGAACCGCCAGAAACTCCATTTTTATTGCTGCAGCAACTTTTGCAACGTCATTGCATCATGTCACGACATTTGAATCAGGCAGGCACACGTCTTTCAGGTGTGGTATTCTTCCTTTTGGTTTTCTGGTGAGGTGAAACATATTGTGCATCTAATTCGTTGGAACTTGGAAGCTGTTTTATGCCATCGGGGCACGACCTGACATCGGGCCTGTTATGGCACAATCGCACGAACAGTAGGTTTAGGAGCTGAATCCTGTTTTCCGGTTTTGTTTTCACCAACTAGTTCCCCATTGGTCCCCTATCTCATGCTCTCCTCCCTCCCCAGGTAGGTTGGTTCCGTCGCGTGCTTAGGTGTTTGTAGGTTTGCGCTTTGGCAGGTTGGTTCAGGCGCTTCCGTCTTCCCCCCCCTCCGCTGGTCTTGGTCCGTGTCCGTCGACCCTCCGCCTTTTTCTTTTCCCTTGCCTTTTCAGGGTTCGCCCGCTCCGGGCTAGGTGTGTTGGTGTGTGTTTGCTCCTTCCCTCTTCTTTTGCGTTCCCCTCTTCGCGTCCTGGTTAAGTAACGTTCATCTCATTGTCACTCCCATCTCATTTTCATCCCCCGTTCATCCTCACTTTCATCTCATTTTTACGCGCACCACCCTGCCGGAGGCAGGGTGTGTGTGTGTACCGTCTGAATAGACGTAAAACTTCTTTTACTTATTACATATGTATATACGCGGGGGGTCACCGGGGTCCCTGGGAGGTCGGTGACCAACGAAGACACCTCCCGGGGACCCGTGTAAACGTACCCGCGGGACTGTGGTGACGCACCTGGGCGCAATTATAAGACGCAGCTGGTGGTCACCATAGTCCCATATATATATATATATATAATTTCATCCTATCTAACTAAATAACTAATCTAATCTGCATGTCACAGGACTCAGTTCCTGCCGGATCATATAATGATCCATTCTTGTCTAGTGTGTGTGTGTGTGAATGTCACCAAGTGTCTTTTGCGCGTGTGTGTGTGTGTTGTTGTGTTGTTGTGTTGTTGTGTGTGTGTGTTGTTGTGTGTTGTGTCTGTTGGTGTGTGTGTGTGTGTGCGTGTTGTGTGTGTGTGTGTTGTTGTGTGTTGTGTCTGTTGGTGTGTGTGTGTGCGTGTGTGTTGTGTGTGTGTGTTGTGGTGACAAAGTGTATGTTGTGTGTTGTGTGTGTGTTGTGGTGACAAAGTGTATGTTGATAAAGCGTGTGTGGACAAAGTGTTTGTGGACAAAGTGTTTGTGGACAAAGTGTGTGGTGACAAAGTGTGTGTGGACAAAGTGTGTGTGGACAAAGTGTTTTGGACAAAGTGTTTGTTGATAAAGTGTGTGTGGACAAAGTGTTTGTGGACAAAGTGTTTGTGGACAAAGTGTGTGGTGACAAAGTGTGTGTGGACAAAGTGTTTTGGACAAAGTGTTTGTTGATAAAGTGTGTGTGGACAAAGTGTGGAGGAGGGCGGAGGAGGAGAAGGCGGAGGAGGAGCCCGGGATACAGAATCAAAAACAAGAACCCCACACAAAGATGTGGGGAAAAATCGTGATTGTCCATAGTTATGTTAGTTTACCAGAGGGTATATATAGAGCATCTATCTTGGAGGCTATGCTGCAGTGAGCAATCTGCATCTGACCATGCGCATCAATGGAGTGCAAGCTTTTCCAGCCGGATTGGCCGTTCAGTTCTCACCCTGTTCGGCAGTTGCAAACAATGGGGGCTTGAAAATTTCAGGCAGAGAAAAGGGGTCGCTGTTTCCAACTGGAGTTTTCCTGATTCGAGAAAACAAATACACAAATAAAAATAAAAAACAAGAATGTGCAAAGCATCATATAATTTTCAAGTAGTGAAGTAGCCATCAGAGATCATCAAAGGTTGACTCTTGACCTTAACCAAGCCAAGGCTTACCCTATCGGATTACGGGTACTTGTGAAATCTGTTGCAAAGTCCGCGGGACTTTGTCTTGGATTTGCTGAGTTTACCCTCCAAAGGAACCCCTATACTAAGTAGATTCCCCAAGTAGTGGATTCCTTTGGCACATCCAAGTTGTCCGAATGGAGACCGTATCGGGGTGGAACGTCCTGGCGAAACGTAGCGAAACTGAGAGAAAATCCCTGGAGTTGAAGCCGGACTGGACTGCCATCGATCTGGACCTATCAGATGGTAAGCTCATCTCATATCTCTGGATCTACAGTCATATACATACCTATATATATACACATAAATATGTTGGTGTGTGTCTGTGTGTGTGCATTTCAGTAACCTGAGTATTTGGCATAATTCATAATAAGGCCATTGAGGGGATAGTTTCACCTACTATCCCCTACTAACCATTGTTCCAGTGACGTCGCAGCGCGGTGTTATAATCATTAATCTATCCGGACTGTCCAATCCACGTGTTAGCTTCAGGGATCATCTCAAGGTGTCCCGAGGACAATATTCAAAAATGCTCGATTTCCAGTTTCAACTATCTGATGAACGCCAACATTTGGATCGCTCACCATGGATTTCTATATAGCTTTAAATCCATCAAGATGCTTTAACACATCTTGGAAATCCAGCCAATGATCCAGAGTTGCTGCCAATCAGCAGCCATCTTCAGGACTTTAAACGCTCACACCGAATTCCGCTGCACCACGGTCCCTGGGGAAATCAGTGGTAGTTGATTCTGCCATATCCTGCCTTCTAAAGTCAAATCAGGTGAGGTCCAAAGGATGGTTTCACCCCTCTGGGATGTGAAAAGCAAAGGACAATTGGTATCTCAGGTTGGGGTTGGCCAATTTCATGGGCAACCCTACGATAAATCACGACATATCACGGTGGTTCCACTCTTTGAGGGCGTAGACTCGTAGACAAACACACGCTTGGAACCAATGTTCAACCCAAAACCTGAGATACCTTGGGAATGAAAAATGGCGTCAGACGGCGTTGTGGTCGCTATTTCCCTCAGCTATAAGTTGGTTCATAAAGCCAGAGAACTGCTGCTGCAAATAAATATCTTTACATACAATCACACGTGAATATATGCATATATATATATATATATCTGTCTATACATATTTAATTGTACACACCATCAACTCCAGTTATATTACTTATCAAGCAACTTAGGTAACGACCTAGGGCACCCTTGTACAGTAGGTATCTTTAGACTATTTGGACCATGCCAAAGCCCGGAACTCCCAGAAACGTGGCGAAATCTGAGCGTTTTCGCTCCTCTACTTGAAAATGCGAGCTGTCTTCCTTCCGAGCAGGGCTAGTGTCATTCCTGAGCCCTTGTTCCCAGCATTCCATTCGTCTTCATGAAACCCAATGTAGACATACCCCAAAACCCTGGCAATTGATGGGTATCCGAGCCATCTGTTGTTCCAGTATACTCAATACCCTAATTGGCTTAACAAATAGGAATTCTCATTACATTTTACATCCAATATTGCAAGCCTGGCCTCAACAAACCAGTGTATCTTTGGGAACGATGCACTGGGCTTTGTTCCACTCCACCCCTGCCGAAGACACGTGCGAAAGCGGCTGGAGGTCCCAAAGGCTTGCTGCTGCTTGTGACCCTCGAGACCACTACTGGGTCCATATTCAACCCCAAACCTAGGATCCCTATCTTTGGTTCCCTATGTTTTTTGTTCAATATAACTGTTCCCAAAAAGAAATAAGACTTGTCCAAATCTAAATCCAGATTAGGGGTTCTACCCCACTATATAGTGACAATCATTTACACACATTCACAAAGTACAAAGATCATGCAACGTGGGGCCCCCCAGTTGGACGTGCCCTTACTATAAGTATCACTCACCCCCAAACCCTAATTCAACTTATACATCTCACAGCTAGTATACCCCACCAAAAAAGAATAGACAAGTATTTTTTTCTACGTTTTTTCTATCTTTACTTCAAGCATAAACCTAGCTGGGCCTCACCTGCCTTGGGCCGCATCACTCCATGGATGGTTCGCCATCAACATCGCCCAGAGCCGGCTGCGCCTGGTGTCGCATCTTCCAAAAAGTTATGATTTAAAGCCCTTTTACAATTTATTTCGAGATTATGGTTATAAATGGGGTTATCATCCCACACATTTTTGTTTTTTTACTGATCATTTATAATGGGATATACATGGAATATAAATGGGGATTTCATGGGATTAATGGAAATAGACACATGAGATTGATGGGACTTTCTAACTTATGGGATTCTGTTGGCCAGCACCTTTTGTTTTTAATTGGATTTAGCCAACCAAAATTGTGATTTCATGAGGTTTGAATGGGATTCAACAAAATAGGGGGGGGATTCTAATTTATTAATATAGTTCTAGTTCTATGGGGGTTTCCGAAGTCATGGAGGACCCTCAAGTCATCATGGTTCAATACTCAGTCGTGGTCATCCATGGCTTGGATGATGCAAGGGTGTACCCTCATGGATCGGACACCTCCATATAGTACCCTCCGGTGTTCACAAACGTGGCGTGCAGTTGGATCAGCTTATCATACCCCCATGATATCCCCAATTGGTTGCTTGATCCACCATTCTTGATGCGTGTGAAGTCCCAGTTTATCTAGGTAAAACGAATTCACCAACAACTATATATATACATATAAATATTGGTGGGACGGCTCCCCTAATTTTGACCATAAAATTTGACCATATCTTAAAGTGACTTCGCGGTAAAGTCGCCAAAATCTCACGTGGTAAAACCAATAATAAACCACCCCCACTTGGGGTTTATGAAATATGCTAAACAGTATAGCCCTTGAAGTGGGAAGATTTACCAAAAAAAACATGCCATGGTTGCCCAAATTCTATCGATACATCATCTAGCATAAATCCAACATGTGACCTACTGGTTTCAACCAACATAGCTATATAGTCTGTTCCCAACTACCAATTCCATAATGTGTGAAGGTCATTTTTTTGGTTGAATCCCTATAGAATCACCTTGTTTTTGTGGCCCTCCAAAAGTTATCATCCAAGGCTCTGAAGGCTACACATCCGTCAGCGCCCTGGGGAGCTTCGAATGCTCATGGAAACGTTCCTGCGCCACATGTGCTCTCCGCTGTCGTGGAATCTCATGGGGATCTAATGAGATCTAACCAATGCAAATGGGATTAAACACACCATTTAGGATGGGATTTCCCCATTAAAAGTGGTGATTTTCCAGGGATTTCGTGCGGGTGTACGATTTTTTTTGGCAACCATGAAGATGTGTGGCTGGGCATTGAACATCGGAATTGCATGGGATATTGATGGGGATCTGTAATGGGCTTGGCAAGGGAACAGTTAATGTACGAACCATCCATAAATGGGTATCCAGTCAGGATAGCATGGGGATATGGTGCAATACTATGCCATGCAATAAAAACCATATCTATATCATTTGGTTGCGAATAAAAATTGAATTCACCAACAAAATTGCCGGAACCTGATGATGAACTGATGGATTTGGGATGATTAATCAACTTTGTTGGTTGAAGTAGCACACACACAAGTTCAATGGATGTGGATATGTAGATATACCCTAGGCCTCACTCATTATTTAATTTTGTGAAGTTGCAGTACCAATTTCTACCTATATAGTGCAAATATTTATTTAAATATCTATATATATATACATGAAATAATAAAAAATATTAATGTCAACCCCAACAAAATACAGCAACGTATATAAAATTATAGTAAAATGGTGACTCAACTGGCACATTTTTTTTCATGTCTTTCTGTTTTTTTTTTGGAGGGGTGGGTTACCATATGACGGGCACAAGTGTTTTTCATGTTTTTCTATTTTTTTTGGAGGGGTGGGTTACCATATGATGGGTCTGCATTGAAATCTATGGTACTATGGTACCATAATTGGAGAGGACTGCCAACCATCTGCCAGCTATTTTGATGTTTACCAATGAAATGTTGTTCTTGACCCACAACCATATACCTTATCATTGGTGTATGAACCCCTATTCATGTTAATGGTCACGCCCAAAAAGATGGAAACGCATGTCATGACTATGTTGCTAAGATTCTACCACCTTGTCTTTTTGGGGCTTACGATGTGTGAGTATGATATAATATTGCCAGCATTAAATCCCATTAAGTCATTAAGTCTGTAAAATTTATAACGTTTATAACCTATATATAATATATTAACCATTATATATTAACCATTATATATTAACCATTATATACAATATATCAACCATTATTAACCTATATAACCTCTCTATATATATATAATTAATTATTAACTTTTACAATCTCTATGAATTCTTGGCCACCCCGGGACCCTGCTCCTTCACCACACTGGGTGTGCTGAGAGCGCTACGGTGATCTTCGGACCTGGCGCAAGAAAAATGCGCAAAAAATCCATAGGGAAACGAAGGTTTACAGGCGAAATAACTATAGAATTCATGGGGATATAAACCAACTTAGTGGGGAAGATATTGAAATCTCTAAAACTCATCTGAACTATAGATACTTATAGTTATTGGGAATAAGTAAGCTCCTATTTTTTGTTTTTTCGGTTAGGAGAAATAACTGACTCGTCACGGGGCAGCGCGCGCCTCGAAGCTGAGCCTCGATTCGATCCCAAAAGTTCCGTCGGTGACTCTGAGATCCTGGCGACGCAGCGACTGGAGAAATGGCACCAGAAATACCACTGTGGCTATGGCATATTTTTCATGTTTCAACTGTAAATCTTCCCAGCAATTCTTGTGGAACATTGTGGAAGAAATTTGACAATTAGGAATGTTGGAAGCATCATGGTGACCCCCAGCTATGTTTGCTGGCTTAAAAGCCAGCAATAAGTTGGTTTACAATTTCTAACTTCTAACCCTAGCTGGAGAGATATCCGCAATAAATCCTAGTTAGCGTGATAGACAAACTCATTTGTCTAGGGAGTCGTTTCCAATAGCAATTTGATCTTTTTCTTTACCACACGTTCTCCATAAATGATGCACGGAAATTGAACAAACACAAATCATTGTTGACCAAAGCGGAATCATATTGTAGATGTAGATCATTTCGGGCTACAATTTCCATGGCCTACCATCACCCTTTTCCGGTGAAATGAAGCGTATCCCGTTGTCAAATAAACCCAAGTTGATTCAATCTGCCAATTCTCAATCAATGATTGTGGCATCGGACGTTCACCTCACATCCACTTACCTCTTCCCCAATTCTGTATATCGAGCGCGACACAAATAGCAGCAACAAACCCAGGTGCCACAATATCCAATGGTCAATCATGTTCCATCACCATCCCATTCTTCAAATGCCATCCGCATCATCCGCGCCTTCGAAAGGAAATCGGGGTGCTCCTGTACGACGCGTCGCGGCTCAGATAGCCGTCTCGGCTCTCCATGCCCTCGGGGCTCTCCATGCCATCGGGGCTTGCCATGCCCTCGGGGCTCTTGCTGCCCTCGTCCTCGTAGCCGTCGGGACTGTCAGCATGCTGCAGGCCCTGCATTGGCACAGCAGTCATGGAGTCGAGCTTTTCCTTATGGCTCTGGGCAGGTGGCTCATCCCCAAAAGTGTGCAAATATGTGCACTATATATATATTATTCAAATATCAATAATAACAATATATATATAATATATATATATACATACGCATGATTACATATGTCAGATGTAGTGTTGTCATGTATCATGATGTTGCGCATATATATATATATATATACACATTTATTTATTTATTTATTTATATATTTATTCTAGTGTTGTAATGCATTTATATTGTATACACACCTGTAGATGCATTGTCTACTTGTACACCTAGATTAGATTGAGTGGCATCTGCAGAGAAAAAGGTGTTTTGTCTAAAAAACAAGAAAGCAAAAGGGACCAGCGCATTTGAGGCCATCAAGTATGTGATGCGTTGAGTGGCATCAACTATGCATCCACCATCCAAGCAATGGATTGGCCCCAGGAAACTTTAGCTGCATTGGATAGCCATTAAAAAAAAACACCATGTTTATCATGGTTGAGGAGGGATACAACCTGACCAGAAACGTGGGCGGGGTTACCTGCACAGCCAGTTGTCGCCGGTTTTTGTTTAGATATCGTGAAAAACCATACAAAACGGCACTCCTTTTAACTGGTTGGTACCAATCCCCATGTTTTACAGCAAAAAAGGTTAGAGTACTGGTTGGTGCCCTTCAAGTTGACCCAGATCTGGGTCCTTGTGCTCCCCAGGCCCCCAGATCCACATAAACCAAAGCGGTTGAGAGTCTTCCAACGTCAGCATTTGCTGATAGAGTTTTGCTCGCATTTCAAGCACTGTTTTCAAACTCTCCTCAAAGTCGCGAAGACCTATCATGACCTATCGGACCTATCTCTCCTCCCTGTTTGGGGTGACGTAAAATGATTCCAACATGATGAGATATGCTTGGTGCTGGAATGGTCTACAGAGTCCTTTGGCTTGCGGTTTGCCAGGCCATCTCCCCCAGCGTAGATGGAGTAGCCTTTTACCGAACATCCGTTATTTGTTTGGCTGTCCAGCTGTCTTTTCCCTTTCACGCCGTGGATGGCGCAGACTCACCCACACCTACCTTCTTCACAAAATGCCAGTGTTCCACCCTTCCACGACAAACACAGTTCAGCTTATGGTTCGATACCAATGTCAGCAAAAAATCTAGAGTTCCGATGAGATCCTTATCGTTTCAATGAAATTTGATCCAAAACCCAATAACCAAGGCTTTTTTGGCTTATGCAGTTGATGTTGGTCACGATTAATCCCATTGGGTCAGTCAAATATATCACTCTGATTATCGCTGTAAGATGTTGGGCCCTTTGAGCCGTCCTCCTTGAGTTCCTGCACCATGCTTTGACAGGCTTTGGTTGCAAGATACGACCTCAGAGGGACCAAGGCAACAAGTGGATCTTCCATGCCTATTTTTGGTTGCCATGCCCAAAGCAGAAATCCTAGGTGGGCAACTCATACGCATAGATTTCCCAATTCTGTGTAGATGTATACCTGCATCTTCAAAAACGTGTATTTTTTATGTTTTTTTTTCCGGATAAGATATTTGTTTGGGGTAGTATCATTTTTTTGACTTCGAACGATTTTTGGGTTTTCTTGTTTTCTTCTTTTTGACCTTCTGGATGGTCTTTTCTCAATCTTGTAACATGTGTCACACTTTTATGTGGACTCGTTTTCAGACAGCATTATATATTTTGAATATTTTTGAATGACTCTTAGAACCTATTTGCCATCAAATGAAAGTGAAGAATGTGATACACTCTTGAGTTAAGTACAACATGCCAAACAGGCCAATCACAAGGTTATCTCAAGTCCTGGAAGCCCATTGGGCAAAGGAGTTGTGTTGCGGCATCCCTCTTATCATCATGCGCGGGTGGCAAGGTGGTCTAAGGGCGTTTGTGAATCTATGAAATTCTAATGTTTTTTCATTGGGCAGCCTATCCTTAGACAATTTTTGCAACGGCACGAAACAACGTAATTTGCCGGCGAAAAGGCGTAATCTGCCAGCGAAACGGCTTAATGTTTTTGGAACAGATTTGTGTGTGCTTTGCTGTTGGTGAAAGGGATTGATCCTGAAGACCTGACAGATTGAATAGACAGTGTAGACAGAGCAAGTGCCAGTCAAGCAACAAAAGAACCTGCCAGGATGTGCTTTTGTGTGCAATCCAAGCGATAGAAAAACCAAGTCTCTGCAACGTTCTGGGGATGCGTGATTTCTCTTTCACTTAGATTCTGTTTTGACGAGTGAGGCTGCTTTGACGTGAAGAGTCTTCCAAAGTGTCCAAGGTAATCAGTCATGGCTTTCTGTTGTCGTATTTCACTTGATCTCTCTGGAGTTGGTGAAGGCTGCGAGGTGGCCAACCAAACCTTCCTGACAGAATAGGGAAGAACATGAAAGAGCAAAAATTCAAGAAACATCAAAAAACAAACATCAATTTTTGGCGAAACGCCAACAAAAACAGCATTCTCAACTTCGAGCGATAATTGTGCACATCCGGAGGTTGTAGGCATCATTATATATATATATATATCTATATAACTAAATAAACAAACATATGAGTAGTCTTAATAATACGTAATAATACATATATAGACATCGCATATATACATTTATATGTGCTATCCAAATTCTTGGTGAGAAGGTAGACCCGCAAAATCATACCCCCCCGAGTCATGCTGCCTCAAAGAAGGCACGGCTGGATCCATAGGGGCTGTGTATTCATACTTGAGGCCACAGGGAAGGGTATGCAAGCGAGTTGGGCAAGGAGGGATCTGTATTGAGAGAATATGTGGCGCAACCTTTTCAGTGTCATGTTTTACTAAGCTACCATTCGATGTTGCTAGCACGCTAGCAGCAACGTATCATGATATTCTGGCTCGCACGCACCATAATCATTCCACAATCCTCCCCCTGACATCCTAGCATACCAACACTACCATTACTCATTACGCTCCTAGTACTCTACTTGCCAAATACAAAGTGCTAAGTGCCCCAACCGAACGCGTTTCGGTTGAGCCACCTCTTTCCCCCAGCCTTTCCTTCCTTGTTCCTGTCCGTGACATATCACACACGCACACACACATATATATATATATATATATATATATGTGCGTGTGTGTGCGTGTGTGTAAAGGAGAAGATATATGTCTATGATGAATATCTAAGTATCTCTATCTGCCACTATCTTAGCTACATATCGAGGTATCTATAGTCTATATGTATATGTGCATATAGCTATGGATAAATATATACATCCACTATGCAAATAACCCAGTCTTAGAATATGGTAACTTAGGTGCGTACATCCGTGAAGCAAGAAATGCTTGGAAATCTTAAGATGCGCATCTTCCATTCCTCGCCAACACCGGGTCATGATTTCATGCAGACTTCTTGCAGAAATGGAATGCAAGACTCCAAGTGGATGTTCTCTGACTACATTGCCTTACATTACATTGCATTGCATTACATTAGTTTAGATTAAATCTGGACTAGGTTAGATTAGATTAGGTTACATTACATTAGGTTAGATTGCATTGGATTAGATTCCCCTTCATTAATTAGGTTACATTGGATTAGGTTACATTATATACATTACAATATATTGCATTGCATTACATTCAGAACACTCACGGTGGATATCATCCTGTATATGTGTGTGTGCGTGGGCATGCGAACCAGTGGCACCCGTGGTCACACATGAAACCCTGCGGAATGGACGCACCAGGGTTTGAGCTCATGCCAGCCATGTTGGAGTATCCTATTAATCCGTATTGATCCATATTAATCAAGTTTGATCCATATTCATCCACATTAATCTAAGGTTATGGGCAGTCGGCCAAGCTTAGCCACAGAGCGCCTTACAAATCGACCGAGCAACGCGACAGTGTCGCTCTTGTTCACCTCCCCTGCGGAAGGATGGAATTTAAAGGGCTGAAAAAAACACCACGTATCAGGGCTTCCTGCGATTTGTGTCCCCAAAAGCAAAAGAAACGAATGAAACTGACTGTGTAACTACATACTCTCTTGTCACTGTTGGAGATGTTTGGTTGTATCTACTTGTATTTTGTTTCGTTTCTTCGGCTCTTCGGCATTCATCAGAAGTTGAAAAAATCTAAATCTAACCCGCCTACATATCCACATAAGATACCATGTCCGAGACAACATATCTCGCAGAACCTCTTCAGGATTGACCAGCCTTGTCCCCTGCGGTTATGGCCCTTCACAGCTACAAATGGGATTGCAACTCCTACAACTATCAGCAACTAAGCTTCTATACCATCTATACCCTGTAATCCCATTTATAACTGGCTATAGGGCCATCGATAACCGTGATTGATGGGGGGATCATCTAAAATCAGCAATTCATGGAAGATCGGCTGTTCTGGATCGATCACTTGGTTCATTGAATTCTCATTGAGTGCTTAGCTTCTGAACTATAGTTTATAGCAAAAAACATCTAAAACCCTTAGTTTTATTCAATGGAAATCGGGGATCAACTTAAAAACCCTTATTCATGCTTCCTTAAAACTCTCCATTTGTCTGGACCGTTCTTCCGCCCCTTTGCCTCGAATCTTCAGAGTCCATGCAGAAGTTCCGCCATTTGAAGTGTACCACTTCCGTCTGCGTCCTGAACGAACTGGCTGGGACCAAGTCGTCGCCCCACCAAGATATTTTTGCGATGCAAAACATGCGACTTTTATTCTGTTTGGTTTTCTTGTTCCCCACATCTTTGTGTGGGGTTCTTGTTTTTGATTCTGTATCCCGCCACCTCCTCCGCCGCTGGCGCGCTTGGGCGCGGTTAAAGCCCGGGGCGCCGCGTTTTGTCACCCACAACTTTGTCACACACACACACAATCTTTCACACACAACTTTGTCACACGCAACTTTGTCACACACACTCTTTGACACACAACTTTGTCACACACCCTCTTTGTCACACACCATCTTTGTCACACACAACTTTGTCACACACCATACTTTGTCACCCACCATCTTTCACAAAAACAACTTTGTCACACACCCTCTTTGACACACAACTTTGTCACCCACCATCTTTCACACACAACTTTGTCACACAAACACACACACACAGACACACACACACACACACACCGTCTCCGCGCCACTTTGCGTGGCAGGCGTGGCACTTGGTGATATCCACATTCACTTTGCAGAAGGATGCAACTTTGTCACACACAACTCTTCACATACAACTTGTTCTACTTCTCGATCCTCCACCACCTCCTTCCTTCCCCGTCCCCGCTACACCATTTGTTGCTCATTATTGGAAGAAGTCGACTTGTGGGGTTATCCGGTCCTTTAATTTTTTTTGCTGGATTACTTTCCGTACATATTGTTTGTAATAGTAGCTCTCAAAAAGTAAAAAACTGTTCTATCTTTTGGGGGTGTGCCGAAATGGTGGGAAAAGACCCACGGCTTTCGAATAAAGAAGACCCAGCATTTGTAGATCATGTCGAACCACGGGTTTTCCACAGTTCCACATCTATGTTTCATTATGTTTCTATGTTTAGATATGTATGTATATATATATATGTATAGCTGAGGGTAGAAAATGCTAAGGTCTTCCTTGAAATCCATCAATATTGATGACTCGGAGTTGGCCTTCCATTTCTCGGTCACTCCCCCAGTTGGACTCGAACATTGACAGCCCCAAGACTTGGAGACGGCTGTTCTCTTTCTGGATTCCCATCTATAAGAATTGAACTTATAGCATGTTATACTTACAACTATATATAAGTATAATAAATTCATATGAATTTAAGAATCTGAAATAGACAATTAATCTTGGGAGATTCGAGGGTTGATACCACTACTAACTAATCGGTGATATTGACCAATGCAGTCAATCTGTAGCAATCCATCAGAACCTCCTGGGTCCAAGGGTCGATCACTTCAAACCTCAGGGCTGGTGTCATGGCTGGGAAGGGCAGGTCATCTTTGAAGATGAATACCGTCCAACTCCAATTCCATGGCTTTTCTTCACGCATAGCAATGAACTTCTCCATATATTTCAATATGTGTTCAATATATTTCAATCATACTTTCGGGACCTTTCGGGTATGTTGCATGATATACAGTAATCATGGCATATCATGGCCAATCTCTTCTAGAGATGTATGCCATGCGTCACCATTTTCACAAAAAAAAACATACTAAACTACCCGCCCAATGTTTCCTCAGCAATATAAAGTATACATATACATATATAAATAACAAGATACGATACAAATATATATAATATAGGATTGTTCATGATTGTTCCTATCCTTCGGCAGGTACCCTCCAATAATATAACCTGACAATGGAAAATCAGCCCTCTTGATAGATGATTATATATCCCGTTTGCCAAGTTTTCCCCATGAAAAATTGTGTTTTCCAGCAAACCATGATTTTTCCGTATTTTTCCTGTATAATTAAAATCACCATAAATAACCAATTTCATCCAATTTCCACAGATTTCCCAAGTTCATGTCACCATTTCTCGTTTGGTTCACTACCCGTTCCACTCCTCCCACAGGGTTCCATCGTTGGTTCCGTCACGTGGCAAGTTGGCGCGGTCTGGAGGCAGGTCCAGTTCATCCATTAGCCGCTGGATCTTCTTGTCTTGAATCACCAGGAGGAAGAGCTCCTGCAGTGGGAAAACTGCGGGAAAAACTATTGGAATCCCATGGCCATGCAGTCTTCGCGGCCCATTTAGTTTGATGATTTGACCGACTTTCGCTGTCAAATTAGCAAAGGGTAATTGTAGATACCCTCTGGTTAATTATTTAATATAGCCATGGGAAATGACCAATTTATAGATGGTTTACCTATTAAAAATTGTGATTTTCCATGGTTATGTTAAATAACCAGATGGTATATCTAGTTACCATAAGCCATAGTTAGTCTCCGTAGTGAAGAAAACCTATGGATACAGGATGATACCGTATCACCCGGTATACCATGGTATACCCTCCGGTGTCATCACTGGCTGGCAAACGTCCGAACATATAACCAAATGGGCATATCTCTCTCTCTCTCTCTATCTCTATCTAAACATATTAAATATGGAGGTTTCCTGAAATGGGCGTACCCCTAGATCATCCATTTTAGATTGGGATATATTGGGATATTCAATTTTTTTCACCATTTGGGGGTACCCCCATGACTTAGGAAACCTCCATACTCCAACTAAGAGGAGATGCCATCATTGCAGCCACGATGACCCCAGCACCCACGAGGCTGGAGATGTGTTTTTGTGAATGGGATAAAAAGCCATAAAGAAGAGGGGATGCGGGGATGAACGGCTCCAAGAATATCCAGCAAACAAAGGTTTGAACTATCAATGCCTATCGACAAGGGATTCACCAACAGATTGGTGAATGTCAACCCCGGATTTTGCCAAACCATGGTTTATTAATTAGGGGGTGCTCCTCCAATAGTCATAATCTGATACTTAAATGGTGCCCTGCCAATTAAAGAGCCGTTTGGGGTTTATTAATCCAGGGTTGACATTATATATATATATATAAATATATAAAGAGGGAATACATTGCGGGTAGCATGGGAATTCAGACACTCATGGGACAAAAGTGGGGAACAAAACATGAGATGATTACCGTCCAGGAGACAATCACATTTAAATAAATAAACAGCTCATGGGAACCCAAGGGAAAGTAATATACTTATGTTTCATGTCTACCTTGATTAACAGGAGGGCCTCAGGCAACTGAAAATTACATTTTTTCCCCACCTGTCAGGTGAGGGTTGTTAGATTTTATCAACTCCTCCTCCTTCTTCTTCTCCTCCTCCTCATTCTCCTCCACCACCTCTGCCTCCACTTCCATGTCCACTTCCGCCTTGCCAACTCTTCGCCAAGCTCTTCGCCAACTTCCGCACGCAGTGGGCACTGCTGGACCTCAACTGCAAGGGTCTGAGCGCACTGGGCACCGCTGGACCTCAACCTGGGGCCTTCCGAGCTCAGTGAGCACCGCTGGACCTCAACCTGGGACCTTCCGAGCTCAGTGAGCACCGCTGGACCTCAACCTGGGACCCTCCGAGCTCAGTGAGCACCGCTGGACCTCAACCTGGGACCCTCCGAGCTCAGTGAGCACCGCTGGACCGCAACGGCCAGATAGAATGCCAGAAGATATGCCAGATAGAACGCCAGATAGAATGTCAGAAAGAATGCCAGAAGATATGCCAAATAAAGTGCCAGAATGTTTGCCAGATAGAATGCCAGAAGATATGCTAGATAGAATGCCAGAAGGTATGCCAGATAGAATGTCAGATAGAATGCGAGAAGGTATGCCAGATAAAGTGCCAGAAGATATGCCAGATAGAATGCCAGAAGATATGCCAGATAAAATGCCAGAAGATATGTCAGATAGAATGCCAGAAGATTTGCCAGCAACAAAACGTATAGATGTCATGGTGGGGATAACTCGAAGTAAAGTAATTTGGCTTGGGGATACCACAAATCGCAATTTAATAAGGAAACAGGAACCGGTGATAAACGGTTGGAGTGTACCCTATCTTTGGGCAGTCCCACTTGGAAACAAATTTGCCAACATGCCCTCTGGTAATTTGACGTAGCTATGGTAAATGGTCCATTTCGTTCGATAATCTAGATATATCTACAGTAGATAGATATATATATATATAATTATATATATATAACGTGATGAATTACGTTCAATCCCTGGTGGGATACATGACATTGACATGCTGGATATCCATGAGTATCCCATCTCCAATCTGCTCGCCTTGCTGATTGCCACATCAGTCATCAAATCTTCTGTCAGCAAAGCAGCTGAAGGCAGCCTGGGTACTACGTGCCTTCAAATATTGACCACAAATATCCGCATTGTCTTTACATCAGGGATACCAGGGGGACCAACATAGCCAGGGAAAATCGTGGAGGAAATTTTTCTTCCGGCCAAGATGCTTCTTCAGACTTCCATGGTGATTGGGTGTGCCATTCTCTTCCTGAGTGCTCGAAAGACCCAGCGATGTTGACGATTTTTCTAAGCAATGCAATAGGTGATTCAACAAAATATCCAACAACATGCATCTCATCTTGGTTACCAGCGCTCAAACCACGGGACAAAACAAAAAACACATGAAAACAGGGAACAACTGAGACTCAAAGACATGATGTTTTTGAGTTTGTTGTAGCATGGTGTTTTGCACGGTGGCTCTGGATGTTCATCTTCCAGGTGATCTCCCTGCATTGAACCTCAAGTTTCAGTGAAATCTGAAGTCCTTGGTGGCCAACTGCCTGTTCCCGAATTACTAAACTATATACTGGTAAAACCAAATCCACATTTTGAGCTTAAATAATTCCCGCTGGCTGGTGAAATTAGACGAAATCCATTTTTTTGCCGGTCACTCTGCTCATTCTGAATGGTTCGAGGCTTCAAATTTTGGAGGTTTCCAGGATTGGAGGTCTCCAAGGTTTTTACCGTGAACGGCTATGCTTTTACCACGGTTCCATGTCGCAAAAGGCATGGTAGGCCGCCACAAAGCGCTTAAGCAACTCTCGCGTGGTCCGAGCAATCCGAATAGACTCTCGAGCATAGGCCTGGGGCTCTCCGCGATAGGCAATCAGTATAGGTTTGGGGATTGTACTATATGCATTTGGGGTAATCATGTTGACCGGTCAATACTCTTGAATGATTCATATCAAATTTTAATACCGTTCTTACTACTATAATGTTACGGCAAGACCCTGAGGTTTGCCCGGACTCGCAACGAGCGTCCGGGCATCATGATCATGATGATGATGATGATGATGATGATGATTGATAACCAATATGCTCCACATAAACAACATGTATTAAACCCTTTTTGAGGATCTTCAATGAATATAGAAGTTCCACGTGGGTGGGAAAATCACACCCTTAGAAAAGATCTTCGACAAATTTGGAATATTGTAGAAGTTTACCGCGGGTGGGAGAATTAAACCCTTATTGAAGATCTTCAATGAATGTAGAAGTTTAACGGGGGTGGGAAATTGATATGATATAGTGTGGAGGAGAGAGAAAAAACCTTGCAAAGGATGCTATTCTGGGCTTGGGCGAACCTCGGGGTCTGTGTGCAATGTTAGTTTTACCTGACAAGCAACTGGGATGATATATGATCCTGCGACCAGAGTTCAGAAAGTACTTCCCCAAATGCTTCATGCATGTGATATCCTACATCTACCTACATTCTCGGTTGGCCCATCAAACAATTGGTATTGAAACCTATCATTCAAGTCAGTAATATGCCAAACTCAAAGCCATTATATAAACCATCCCCTAGATCACCATTTTTATGGGTTATAGAGACCAACCCCAAATGGTAGCTTTACGGCATTGGGGTGAAGTCCATGATTGCTTTTAATGTTTTCGGATCAATTCATCCGCACCTCGGCCGTTTGAATGTCATTTTCTTTGGCGGCTCTCATCGTGATATCCACCTGGCGCACCAAGCCAGGCGGGCATGGCGGGCCACTGCACTGGCCACATGGCAAGAGTGAGTTTTGCTTGAAAACGGTACCTTGAAAAAGGGGTTCGTGCTACAACAGGCGGCTCATTCTCAATGTGATTTCTACCAATAGGATGAATATCTCTAGGCATCCCAATGCTGAAGACAGGCCTGCTTTAACTTTCAGGCAGTCAGTAAACTGAGCAGCGCATTGGAAGCAAGAAAAAACATATTGAACATGCCATTGTGTGATGTGTGTACTAATATCATATATGTTACTAAGTCTTTCTGGGCGCCATGAAGTGAATTAAATTCATCTATGGAAAATAAACACATGGATACATTAAGACATGATCTGACATGGAGGCTATGTAAGGCCTATGTAAGGGAATATCTCCACAAAATATGGCCTTATATGGTACAGTACCTCCATTTTTGGATCCAGAAATTCCCATTGATTAAGACATGATCTGAGATGACCTATCTATCTAGATCTATTTATCCAACGATCCATCCATCTCTCTTCTTCTACCTCTCGATCTGCTCTAGATCATCAAATCTATTCAAATCTAATCTAGTATTATTTTCCTATCGGTCGTTTGAACATACCTGTGTATCAACATCTATTTGTGCATCTAATTTATATAACTTATCTTATATATACACCCAACGTCTTATAATCTGGTTGCATTTATGTGCTTTTATGACTTTTATGTGCATGCACTACTACTCATCGTTCCACACCTCCGCACAATGTATCCCCGACACTTCAAACAATGTTCACTGCATGTGGATCCCCCTGCAACAGTGGCATTTTCAGGTCCAAGATACATAGACGGCAAGAATGACGTTGAAAATTCCTCAGAGATCTGCAGGGAGGAAATCCGACCAAACCAAGGGAAGGAAGGCTTCCGAACTCTCGTGATTTGCTGAGACGAGATGGGGAAACCCCGAGTTTGCGATACTTCCCCTGGGTTTTCCAAATACCCTCTGGTAAACTAACATAACTATGGAACATCACTATATTTTAAATCAACTATAAATTGCCCATTTTCTATGTCGCAAACTGCGTATTTCTGCTTGTCAGGTTGTTATGCCGCTACGCTGAACCGGTTGCGAGTTCACACGATCCAAATTTCCTGGTGGCTTCCGTGTGTGCACCATGGTTTTTGTGATCCTGCGAAGGGAACAAAATACTGCAATTGCATATGTACACGTTACACATACACACGCCCACATATATATATATATATATTTATTTAATATATAGATATAAATGTATAATTACCCTTCCGCATCTCTTTATCAGCCTTCAACTATAGTTTCTTACCATGATAAAAAATAATAAGCAGAAAACAACAACAACAACAACAACAACAACAACAACAACAACAACCACCAACAACCACCAACAAGAACCAACAACCCACAACCGACAACCGACAACCAACAACCAAAAACCAACAAACAACAACCAACAACCAACAACAAACAACGTTTCGGAACCTTGTGCGGAAGGAACAACAAACAACCAACAACCAACAGCCAACAACCAACAACCAACAACCAACAACAACAACAACAACAACAAGAGCAACAACAACACAACCACAACCACCACAACAACCACAACAAACACAACAAACACAACAACCAAACTAATAATACTCATATCACCAGGCGTACCTAGATAAAGTAAACGGTTATCACTAGGGTTATATATCAGTTATCAGCTCAACAGCGCTGATCGTTTTGGATGTCCTCCATGAACCGTCATCGACCCTGAAAATCTGAGTATTTTTGAATCATTGTTGAAGCTCTTACTGGAAAATCTTAGGGACTATCACTTTCACTATCATGTTCAATTACTTTCAATTCCAATATCTTAACAGTCTTAACATGATTCAACGGACATCTTACAATAAAGCACAGTTTTTCATCCCAGCTCAGGCGTTGCTGTGGACTTTCCACTTGGGGATCTGTTCCAAACACTCCGTTTGCTCCGGGCATCCCATGGTCACCAACATATAGCTCCCCACATAACCTGGCCAATGGAGGCCATGGAACATCGCCATTCAGATGTTGTCCATGTCCGACAATGAGGGATCAACAAACCAACCATGGGGATATTATTTGATATACTGGCTGGTGGTTTCAACCCCTCTGAAAAATATAAATCAGTTGGGGTTACTATTCCCAATATATTGAAAAATAAAAAAAAGTCCAAACCACCAACCAGTAACCAGTATAAGTTAGGGGCTGCATCAGCATGTTTGTCTGTTGTATGACAAACATGGCCCAGAAGGCGCTCCCAGCTACTCCCGAAAATGTGGGAACGATTTGCAAAATGAAAACAGAAAAATCACAGAAAATACCTATAAGAAGGACAATCAAGAACACTATGCGGAAACCAAGCGTGTGGAGCCAAAGATGTGGAACCAAAGGAATGTATAATTCAATAACTGGCTCAACTGAATTGGGCATATTTGTGTTGAATATTTCTGGAGCTGCTCTCTTGTAATCGAGAAACAACATGTTGGTGCGCCAGGTTGCTATGTTGGTTTTGAATAGTACGTTAACTGTTGAGGTTTTGTGTGATCCCATCCCCCCCAATTCCCAAATATGTAATCTCATCCCCTACATCCACCATGGTTTCGGGAGGGTGTTGAATCGGGGGGGTGTTGAATCTTAGGGGACAGCAATTACTGTAGTCAGATTGGTTATAAACCAAGTTGTACTGTGCGCCACCTTGTCGCTGGCAATTTCGCGAACAAACATCGTTTGCAGCGGGTAGCAAAGGATGTTGTTGTTCCTTTCCCAATTCGGATTGCCAAAGCGAAGCAAGATTGGCAAAAGAACGGTTTGCAAGGCTTAGTGGCTTAGTAGTACCAGACCAGAATCTCCCAAAATTGAGTGTCGCATTTCTGTGTTAAGGCTGTTTCAGTTAACTGCCCGTGGAAAATTCCAGTTGCAGGCGCTACAGCGGAGCATTCCCGGTTCTGGTACGGTGTTATCATGCCAATATAGAGATACAGTGTGTTACCTGTCAACAAAGATTAGAGCATGAATAGTAGCTGGAATGCCCCAACATTGCATGGCAGTCTGAGGTGTGACGATGACGACATCCAAGTGCATCCAAAGCGTGCTTCCATAAAATCTGCCCTCCAACGCCAATTGGCTCAACGAAACGTCTCTGCAAGGGGTATTCAATCGCTTTTTCATATTTTTGCCCACGGACTTCACTATAGTCGACAAAAACTTCTAAAACCTGTCGATCTGGTCGTCACTTCCAATCAAAAATTATCCAAGGAAACTTGGCATTGCACCAGTTTTAAAGCAACCATCACACGTATTCCCCAGAGCCGATAGATTCCCCATGTCTATCATTGCTGGTGAATTATGTAAGCCAATGTAAGCGATGGGAGGAGAAAACAAGGACTCAGCATATCAATGGTACGCCAACATCCAGCGGATCCCACAATTTATATAGATTGCAATTTCATGGGTATCAGTATATCCCTTGTGCAGGCACACCCAAATCATATTTTCAAGTTTTTCAAATGTGGTTTTAATAAGTTACAGACCAGTAAATCTCATTATATACATATCGCCATTCAAAAAAACGACCGTGGTTATACCCATACACCATCCATTTTCCTTATGACATCCATTGACATCCCATAATATCCCATATTCAATTAAAATGCATTAAAATGCTGCGGTACACCATGTCTCCTACTTATATCCTCGTGTTGCTTTTGTTTCAAGGTTTTTTTCCCCATAATCGGCCCGAAACCATCCAGGAAACTCAGGATGAACGGCAAACCAAACTCTTCAGCCAACAAGGACGGGATTGGCTGCCCCGAATCTGTCACCTCGGCACTCAGGCTTTCGAAACTGGGCACTCCGGGGTAAACTGCTCCAAAAGATGCTCTGTTCAACATCCCAAGCTTGGTTGGTTACATCCAACCTTTCATTGGTTAAATTCTGTAATTCTTAGGTTACAAGATCAGTTCCCCTATATATAGATAGCTAAGTTATGCTAAGTTTGTTTACTATACTTTGATGGGCGGTATATAAACCAACTTGCAACTGCCCCACTTTTGTAGCTACAACCCACTTTAAACCTCAATGGAAAAGGCATGCAATAAAACGATTACCAAAAATAATGTCGCGATAAAAATCAGATTACACATGATTGCAAATGAGTGGTTCGCCCCAGAATCACAGGTGGGTTAGTTCACCCCAGTGAATTCTGCATACGGTAAGAGGGCGACTAGTCCGGCTATTTGGCGGTGAACTAACGAACTGGCCAGGTGGGATGAGCCACCAGCAAGCCAAAATGCCGTTCGATTCATCCGATTCATAGATGTTTTGTTTTCCACTGATGTAATGGAACTAAAACGAAGTATTTCCATCTGGTTATTTAACATAGCCATGGAAAATCACCATTTTTAAAAGGTAAACCATCTATAAATGGGCCATTTTCCATGGCTATGTTAAATAACCAGAGGGTATTTCCATCGCCTATAGCGAATGTGAAATATCCTCCAAGTGCAATCCCAGTGTGAGTGGATCCAACACTAAATCTGGCTTTCGAAGAGGGTGGTATCTGGGGGAAGGGATTAAGCCATCAACTCTGGGGGTGCATTCACTATCCACTGATTTCAGTTTTTGGATGTTTTTTTGGGATAAACAACCACAAACCATTTACCGAAGTGATCAGAAGAAAAACTAAAACCATACACGGTTCCGGTTCAGCGCAATTTTTCTCAAGACGACTACAGGCGGCATGGAGAATATCAAACAGTCTATACTTTAAATCAACTCCAAAATATTGGGAGGGTCACTTTTATTATATAAATCTTTAAGATTCTTTAGGGACCTCTTTACTTCGAATCAAAATTATACAAATCAGCAATAACTGCTGCAAATCACTGGCAAATATGGATAGTGGATGCGTATGTAGGCTTCGGTAACATGACATTAGTACCATCATGGCTAATCTGTCGGTCGGCCCCGGGCCTCACTTGCATCGCTTCCCAGCAGATGTTCTCGTTTATAACCGTTTATATTGCAAAATGGGTGACGGATTTGGATATTTTACCCATTAATAATCGGTTATAATTCACCATAATAATATCCAAATATTGGTGATATCCAAATATCACCCATTTTGCAATATTGAATATCACCAATAATCCCGGAATAATCCCCCTTGAAATTCACCCCAAGGGGTCAGGCCAACCATTCCATAAGGAAAATGTCAACGGAGATCATCAATAGTCAGGATGGCATCCTCATCTTTTTGGTACCAAGTGGGGGTATGGGATTTGACCCTGTTTAACCAACAGAAAAATGGTGGTACCATGGAGTTTAAACTTTAAACACAACAACTTGAGGTCTTATCATTTACCATTATCATGTCCTATCTGCCTTGAGTTTCAGCAAAAACTTAAAAAAATTGCCAAGTGACACATTCGCCATTGAAGCATCTGAATGCAGTGAACATCGTGGCCGGGATGTTCTTGAAATAACCTGATCGGATCTTAAGGGATAAGCCAAGGACCTAAGAATTTGGCCCCCGAAAAAACACCACCAGCCGCTATACCCTAAAAACGTACCATCATGGCCAACCACTGGAGGGCCACCTGGGGGATCACGAATGCTTTGTCGTCCATGTTTTTCATATATATATATTGCCCTCTGGAAATTTCACATGTGCGCTAAAATCACAACTCTTTATTATATAGTATAATTTCATTCGTAGGTAAAAAAATACATGGACCATTTTCCATAGCCCATAGCTATGTTAGATTACTGGAGGGTAAAATCGGCCTAGTGCTATGAGCCAGCAAGTCCTTGAGAAGTGAAATAGCCTTGGATAACAAAAAGGGTGTGAAATAGTTTTAGGATTAAAGTTGGGCAGGTTTGGGTTTTTTTTTTGGATTTCTTGGCTGGTACCATTTGCCTAGTGTTTTGCAACGGTTTGGAACTTGAATTTGTCATTTTGCATGGTATTTGCCACATTTGGGCATGTTCACCTTCCATTTTGCATGGGATTTACTACATGTGGGCATGTTCACCTTCCATTTTGTATGGTATTTGCCACATTTTGGCATGTTCACCTTCCATTTTGCATGGGATTTCCTACATGTGGGCATGTTCATCTTCCTTTTCTATGGTATTTGCCACATTTTGGCATGTCCACCTTCCATTTTGCATGGGATGTTCTACATGTGAGCATGTTCACCCAAATATTTACAGATGCGGAAGCTTGGGATTAGATAAAAAGCGGATGGGGGGGATTGAGGGAGGGCGCTAGCTATCTATCCAGCTAGCTAGCTATCTAGCTAGCTATCTATCTAGCAAGCTAGCTATCTATCTAGCAAGCTATCTATCTATCTAGCTACCTATCTACCTATCTAGCTAGCTATCTTGCTAGCTATCTATCTACCTATCTATCTAGCTGGCTATCTATCTATCTAGCTATCTAGCTATCGAGCTATCTATCTAGCTATCTATCTATCTAGCTAACTATCTACCTATCTATTTAGCTATCTATCTATCTATCTATCTATCTAGCTATCTATCTAGCTACCTCTTTATCTATCTAGCTAGCTATCTATCTATCTAGCTATCTATCTAGCCTCTATCTATCTAGCTATCTATCTAGCTATCTATCTAGCCATCTATCTATCTAGCTATCTATCTAGCTATCTATCTATCTATCTAGCCATCCAGCTGTCTATCCAGCTATCTAGCTATCTATCTATCTAGCTATCTATCTATCTAGCTATCTATCTATCTACCTCTTTATCTATCTAGCTAGCTATCTATCTATCTATCTAGCTATCTATCTAGCCATCTATCTATCTAGCTATCTATCTAGCTATCTATCTAGCCATCTATCTATCTAGCTATCTATCTAGCTATCTATCTATCTAGCTATCTAGCTATCTATCTATCTAGCTATCTATCTACCAAGCTATCTATCTATCCAGCTATCTATCTATCTATCTATCTATCTATCACATGTAATCCTGTCAGCTTTCCAGAGAAGGTTAGTTCGCAAAAACCAACTAATGTAACTTGGGTTTAAGTTTAAATAAAAAAAAAGCGGGAGGGGGGGATTGGGGGGAGGGCGCAGCGCCTCCCCCCAAAGCAGAATGCAAGCACCTCTTCTCACATGTTACGTTGCTAGTTTTCAAGAGAAGGTTGGTCATGTGATACTCAGGGATGTAAATACTGTGCAAAATGCATCTTACATGGAAATCAAGTATTTAAAGCAGGCAAAGCAGGGAAGCAAAAAAGCAGAGAAGCAAAGAAACAGGAAACGCACAAAAGCAAAACAGCAGAAAGGCAAAGAAGCAGGAAAAGCAGAAAAGCAGAGAAGCAGGAAAAGCAGGAAAAGCAGAGAAGCAAAGAAACAGGAAAAACAGAAAAGCAAAAAAGTAGAAAAGCAAAGAAGCAGGAGAAGCAGGAGAAGCAGAAAAGCAAAAAAGCAGAAAAGGCGAGAAGCAGGAGAAGCAGAAAAGCAAAAAAGCAGAAAAGCAGAGGAGCAGGAAAAGCAGGAAAAGCAGGAAAAGCAGGAAAAGCAGAGAAGCAGGAATCCAAAAATAATTCCTAAACCTGATCAAAAAAAAATCTTAAAATAATTAGCCCTCCTAATAAAAATGACTGGCTGCGGAAGTCCTGACAAAAATTAAATACAACTGGATATTTGAATTATGGTAAAATCATCGAAGTAGGATTGTCCATTGCCATAATTTGAGTGAATACTATAGTCATTCAATACGCTGGGAACATATTGGGAAATCTTGTAGTTGATTGCTTGATGTTCCCTAATTATAAGGATTCGAGATGTACCTCAACATGGATCCAGTATTTGGATGCATTTGGTAGCAAATCCTCCTTGTCTTGAGACAACATGTTTTATGTGCTGTACCCTCGGTTTACTGTAGGTTATCTGGTCATCCCAGTTGAAATAAAAAAACACCCGGCCAATAAGGCTGATTCCTCAGTGATACGTGCAATTCCCAAAGTAACGGGAAGGGCATCTCCATCAAAACAAGTCAAAACACAAAAGCCAGGCGCAAGTTTTTTTCAAGTAACCATTTGCATGGCTTTCTGTGGGTAACCGGCGGAACGTACATATCATTTGGGACTGACTGAAAATAGCGCACCATCGAATTCCATGCTTATGAAACAAAAACTGTCCATTAAGATTGCCATTTGCTACTTGGGGTGTCTCCGACTGAAAACCTCATTTTGGCCTAAAACATATTGTGATGGTGGCATGTCAAATATCCTATGCAAGGCGGTGCCCCCCAGTTAAAAATTCACTAGTAACCCTCATCAACTTTAGATATATATATATATATATCTATATACGTTGAATCAGAGATTGAGATGCCCTGCAAAAAGTGCTAGTTGCTTCATCGGGAATTGCCTAGTGGATTACAATAATCTTCAATTGATTGGATTACATGAACCCTTATTACAAGCATTACAAGCATCAAGCAACATTTAACAATTATAAATGGTCAAAACAAACAAACTATAAATGATGGATAAATCCACATCAAATCCTGTGAATAGCCATTAAGACCTGGGGGTGAACACAGCGTGCTGAACATAGCTGGAGGCACCTGCTAAACCGATGGCGATGGTTTTCTCATCGGTTCCGAAGCTAATCGTGGCGAAGCCCGCGATGACGTAAAGCACAGCCTGATGGCCAGAGTTTTTGTCGCATTTTTGCAGGCTACCTGGCTGAAAAATGATGATGGAATATCATGGAATCAGCCTCAGGTATAATGGTTAATAGTGGTAAATAATGGAATATAGTAATATAGTAATTTATAATATAGTGATAATAGAATAGTGGTTAATAATGGTTATTAGGTATATATTCATAATATAGTAATTCACTATTCACTAGCTTGGAAATAGCTGAAACAATTGGCCATGTGGGGACGATTCCGATGATTTCCTTTACTCATCATTCCAGTGACGTCACAATGAGGTAGTCATAAATCATCCAGAAGTTATAATGCGGGCATTCAAAGCATATGATATATGCATGTGTATATATATATATGCATATATAAACAACCTCCAAAATCAAACACATGACTGGGTGAAATATGATACTATGATCTCAAGATAGTGATGAATTACGTTTCTGATCGGTGTAGGTGTTACTAAATCCATCTATATCCTATATACATATGTGATTGGGATATATCTGGGCAAATTATAATAATTCACTATCCTGAAATAAGGCCATGTTGGGATGATTCCCCTTACTAACCATGATTCCAGTGAGGTCGCAGTGAGGTCATTATAATTTACCCAAATATATGTAATTGAAATGATTGGATATAAGCTATAAACCAAGTTCAACATCAATGGCAGCAAGGGACAAAGTAACGCCCCCTGATAGTGTCCCAGAAAAAAAGGGGCTGTAACATGTTGTAACCCACTGCTTGGCACTTACTGGAATAGGCCCAGTTCCATACACCTAGTGTTTTACACATATCAACCCCAAAATGGCAAACTTAGATGCGGTTTATGGCTTTTACCACATGAATGGACGTCATTGAATCATGGATTGAACAAAGCTACAACAATTAAGAAATCAATCAAGGAAAATCGTTAACCAGCCAAGAATCTAAAAGCAACCTAAGAAGCAAATTGTTTGATTTGAAACAAAGGGGATCTAAAATAAGGCAACGCTATGTACTGCAGAAGCCTACGCCATATAATGATATAATAATGTTTACATATAGACATATAGTTTTCATAAAAAAAAATATATGTATGTATATAACGTGCTAATGCAATACAGGATATATATATATTATATATTATATATTATATATATTATATATATTATATATATATATATTATATATATTATATATATTATATATATTATATATATTATATATATTATATATTATATATATTATATATATTATATATATTATATATATTATATATATTATATATATTATATATATATATATTATATAATATTATATATATATATATGTTTTATACATATGTATACGCACATACAACTGCCAATGTTGAAGCATCACGTAATATGATGTTAAAACATGCTAAGTAATTCGGAATAATGTAATACAAAGAACAATAACGTGCTATTATGCAATGTGAGTAGTGCAATGTACTGCGATTTGATGCAACAAAATGTGATATGATGTCATGCAATTAATGTAATGTAAAATGATGTACTATCAAAGTCTATATATAGCATGCTGCAGTATCGGTGCGTATATAAACATCTAAAACACATGTGTATATACATATAGATAATACATACATATTATATACTGTATATATATACTGTGTATTATAATAAATAAATTAAACAAATAAACGCATAACCAAATAGATAAATGAATCACACATAAATAACAAACTAAATAAACAATTGTATTTATATTATATACTATGTACACAATTTACCGAAGGAAGTTTAGAAGTCAAGCTTCCGACAATATGGACAGATGAAAAGCAGAGCAGGGCAGAGGCAGAGAGAAGAGAAAGATTAGAAGAGAGAAGATCAGAAGAGAAAGAGTCAGAAGAAAGAAGATGCAGATGCGCGAAAAGGTAGGAAAGTCGCGATTCACTGTGTTTTTCTAATGATTTGTGGCTAAGGAGGGTCGAAAAGTAGGCTCGCTAAAGCGGCGGGTGCGGAGCCAGCTGGCCAGATGAGAGATGAAAAATTGCACAACGTTGTGGCGCGAAGCACATTTCCAAGTCGAAAAGTACAAAGTACACCAGGTTCGGACCACTTTGTTGTGGCGCGATGCACATTTTCAAGTCAAAATGTACAAAACACACCAGGTTCGGACCACTTTTGGAAGTTGAGATGTCGAAAAAGTGCACGCAGCTGTGGCGCGAAGCACATTTGGAAGTCAAAATGTTAAAAACACTAGGGGTTCGGACCACTTTTGGAAGTTCAGATCTCGAAAAAGTGCACACCGTTGTGGCGCGAAGCACATTTCGAAGTCAAAATGTTAAAAACACTAGGGGTTCGGACCACTTTTGGAAGTTCAGATCTCGAAAAAGTGCACACCGTTGTGGCGCGAAGCACATTTCGAAGTCAAAATGTTAAAAACACTAGAGGTTCGGACCACTTTTGGAGGTTCAGATGTCGCTTCGCTTCACTACACTACACTACACTCCGCTACGCTAAATTACACTACACTACACTACACTACATTCCGCCACACTCCACTACACCACACTACATTACACTACACTACATTACACTGAGCGACACTGCACCACAGATAGACAGGTAGACAGATAGATAGATAGATAGATAGATAGATCAACAGATAGACAGGTAGACAGCTAGACAGATAGACAGATGCAAGGGAGAGATAGATAGACAGATAGATAGGTAGATAGACAGATAGATAGACAGATAGACAGATAGACAGATAGACAGACAGACAGACAGACAGATAGATAGATAGACAGATAGCTAGAAAACTAGACAGCTAGATAAATACATAGGGAGATAGATAGACAGAGAGATAAATAGATAGATAGACAGATAGATCAGTAGGTAGGTAGGTAGATAATCAGAGAAAGATAGAGAAACAGAGAGAAAAAAAAGAGAGAGAGAGAGAGAGAGAAAAAAAAAAGAGGAGACCTCAAGCACCTTTCAGTCCATCAGTGGCTTCGCTCTGCCATCCGTGATTCACAACCACCAACCTCTCCTATAGGCTTCCTATTTTTGAAACTTCTGCCACCGCCTTGTGCGGTACTACTGGTACATGCATATGTGATGTTAAAAAGGGTAGGGTAATTTTACCCAACGCTGTCTGATCCAATACCGAATACGTGACAACACAAATAGACAGGGCAGCAGAACCTTCTGATGATTCCACCACTTAAGCTTCCAGGAGGATTTGTGGCGTTCGCTACCCAAAACCAGGCTACATATTTCAACACACGTTCACCACCTATAGATTTGATATGGTACATCCAAAGCCTTATGAAAGACCAATGATTTGACATATTGACATCAAGGAGAAATCCCGACTCTTTTCCATTGGTACTATTTAACGTAGCCGTGGTGGCCAGAAATCCGTCTGATCAGGTGTTCTGTGGGGTTGTTATGAATATTCCACAGCATATCGGTGTTTTATGACCACCTTGCACAAAACTGAGCCTTACAATGGTATTGATTGCAGGGGATGCAAAGACCTAGGCAAAGCAGCACATGTTAGCCCACGCCCCATCTGTTCAAAGGTGTAGAGGGGCTTGTCTGAAAAATGGTATCCCCAAAATTTGATGGTTCGTCATCATTCTTCCTATTTCTTACTGTGTAAAAGCCAAGACTTGGGGGGTCAATACCCCAGTTTCAAACCCAAATCACACTGTTCGCTAAGTTAGCTATCCCATGTTTATCCCCCAAACAAGTCCGACAAGTCCAGAAGATCATCCGGGTGTTTTGGGTTCATGCCAGGCAGCAAAAAGCAGTAGGAAGGCTAAGCTCAGGGTCTTGATTCCAGCTATGAGGCCTCTGATCATGAGCCGCAAATCCTGGGAGTCATGACGGTGCCAGACATTTCAAAGTGAAGCCTGCAATCAAAATACCAATATCATTCACCTTAATACTATTTTTATCAATCAAACAAACGGTAATTTATCAATTTATCAGTTTATCATTTTATCAATTTATCAATGCCAATACCTATCTATCAATACCAATATCTATCTATCAATACCAGTATCTATCTATCTTTCTATCTATCTATCTATCTGTCTGTCTGTCTACCTATGTATCTATCTATCTATCTATCTCTCTCTCTCTCTGTATCTCTATCTCTCTATATCTCTCTCTATCTCTCTATCTCTCTATCTCTCTATCTCTCTATCTATCTCTCTATCTATCTATCTATCGATCCATCTATTTATCTATCTATCTATCTATCTACCTATCTCTCTCTCTCTCTTTCTCTCTCTATCTCTCTCTCTCTCTCTCCCTCTGTCTCTCTATCTCTCTCTATATATATATATATCTATTTATAAACACAAAAATGTATGTATGTATATTCATGTTACACCGATGTATTTCCCCACCTGCCAGGTGAGGGTTGTTAGATTTTATGTCAGTTGCCTGCTCCTCTCCTCCTCTCCTCTCCTCCTCCTCCTGCTCAACCGCGACCCTCGACGCACAGTGTTCTCTGTCGGACCTCAACCACGACCATCCACGCCCAGTGTTCCCTGCCGGACCTCAACCACGACCATCCCCGCCCAGTGGTCCCTGCCGGACCTCAACCACGACCATCCACGCCCAGTGTTCCCTGCCGGACCTCAACCGCGAGTATCCACGCCAAGTGTTCCCTGCCGGGCCTCATGTAGGAAGATATGGGACAAAGAATGAAAGAAGTTGCGCAGATGGGGCCCAATGATTGCCGCCAGCTGCAAAGCGCGCACTGCAGCAGCCAAGGCAGCAGCGCACGTGTGCAAAGGGGTGGAAACAAAACCTAAGTCCGCCTTAGTCCAAGACTAGCTCTACAGCAGAGAGCCCTCCATCATCAAGACAGAGGTTAACCTAAGCCATCTGAATGCCTAATGCTCCAGAGTCGGCGCACACTTTTTTCCATGTGAGACAAATAATCAGGAGTCTTGTCAGTGTCCGTGCGGAGCACCCATCCCATGCGCCTTTGAAAGACATTAGAAGGAATAGGATGATTAAACGGATTGTCAGGGCAATCCCAAAACATGTGATGTTGATAGCCAACTTCTTGTTGGCAGAAAGCACAAGTGTCACCAAGGCCAGCTAAATCCTCTTTTCGATCAGCACGATAAAGACATGCCGAACTCATGAATGCACCCAGGAACAGGTTTCTGCATGAACTCAAAGCTTCCGCAAAAGTTCTGGTTCGACGAAAGTCGATTTCGGAGTACGCTGCTTTCAAAGCGGCTTCCTCATGATTTTCTCTGAAATTGGTAGCATCCCGACGCTTAGGATGCGCCAGAAATTCCAGGAGACAAGAGCGCCTAAATGCCTCTCGACAGGCGTGCAGCAATTGGGGAATTCCATACCCAGCATCATGCCTGAGGTCCACTACTTGTTCATCTCTTGGAACATGCTGAAACCAGTCTTCATCGACTTTCCAGACCCACGGCTCCTTTTCGCAAAAACCTAAGTTTGTCATATCCTTCCGGAGCAGAGCCACAGGCGTGAACGGCTTCATATGCCATGCCATCCCGGGATCTTTCTTTAAAAGCCGGTGCATTCTGGCCAAACGTCGGGTGACCAGCACCTGACTGAGGAAAGTGTTTGCTCCAAAGAACATTTTTTTGAGTGCTCTGGCACCACACCGCTGACTGGCCATTGAGACAGTCATAGTGTTAAATAACTTGTTGACCACTTCTGCCGTAGGAGATCTGCCAACCCATCCAAAAGCAGCCTTGGAAAGGACGAATGCATGAAATGCTTGGATTCTTCGCGACCATGCCAGTGGGAGACTAGCCAAAATTCTGGCACGCGCCATGGCATCGGCAATTCGTGAATTTTCGACGTCAGTGAGGTTACGCGTCTGAGTGACCGAACTGGTTCCAAGAATTTTAATTTCACTCTTTGCCCATTGTGGTGCTTTGCTCAGCAATTCTTGATGCTGCCTCCGAGTCTTTGCAACGATTTGAGTCTTATTGGGATTTTCCTTGATCCCGAGGGTTCTGCTCCATGCCTGCCACTTCAGAATGCGGTCCAAAGCCCCATCCACATCTTGAGTCCAAAAGGTGCGGTCGTCCATGTAGCAGGAATATTCAGCTGTACCTTCTTGTTGAATGGCCCGAAGACCTGAGCTAACCCAAACCGCCATTAAAAGTGGAGAAAGCGGGTCGCCCTGAGGCATAGCTCGATGGGCTGGCAGAGTTTGAGCCGCTGTGTGGCCATCATACTGCAGCCATCGAACCTGATGCGTCCACACCTGGTGAAGAAGCATAGTCAATTGTTCAGAAAAACCTATTTTCGGCAAAGCTTGACACGAAATCTCCGGTGCCATGTGATCAAAAGCCTGGCTGAAATCTAAGGTGGTTAAAACACCTTTTTTGGAAGCGAGGAGGTCAAACATGTCACCAACCAGGTCCTCACACCCTTTCATCCCTTTACCATGCGCAACTTGAGCATGAAGGGCAACTTTAGACCAAGCCTGCAACTGATCCGATTTGGCCCAAGCGGAACTGTAGGCCCGCCAAAAGACACTCAAAACCGAGACCGGACGGATATGTGAGATATCAAGGTGAATATCATCCACAGACTTATGAGTTTTCGGAAGACAGACCTGCCGAGATTCTTGGAATTGACTAGGGACCAAACCATGCTTAAACCAACGACAAGTACACTGGTGAAAGCAAGTGATGGCAGGGACTGGCAAATGCTTAAGCTCGGAACCGCTCCAACCGTCACACCCTGCTGACCCATTGCTGTTCCTCACAGCCTGCCAAAGTTCACCTTGGCTGATATTGGTCCAAGGCTGGGACGTGGAGAAGAGCCCAAAATCCTGAGCCAATTTTTTGGAGGCCTCGGTTGAATCAGGACGTACCCCACTCCATTGGTGAGTCCAATAGTCATGAATCAACTGCAACGCCTCAGACGGAGTACAAGCTTTCTGACCCTGGGATGTGAGAACCTAGTTGTGAGGCGCCTGAAACTGCTTACGGATCCAAGCACCTAAGTACTTGAAATCACCTGTATTAATACCATGTTTCCATTGTTTGATGGCATCGGACTTGCGTTGTGTTTCACTTTGTTTCAGCTGGAGATTGAGTTGAGAAATTTGATTCTCCGCTTTTTGCAAAAGACTGGAACAATCCAAGTGATCAAACGACTCACCCTGCCAGAGCTTATTTAGAAGACCAACTGGTGGCCATAGATTTTGCCTGCAGCAGCGGCGCACCTCATAGGCACGAGCTAAACTGCGTCGCAACCGACGCACATGCTCACCAGGACTGGGATCGCCTTTAGTTCTGGTACAACAATTGACCAACTGAAACTTAGCACAATTACCTTTATGACGGGATCCATTTTGGCGGAGTTTATTCCGCACTTCCGTTTGCAGAGGACCCTCCGGAGAGTCATGTGCTAACTTATCAAGGGTACGAAGGAACAATTCACGCAAACAACTCATGAAAAGATCCCATTCAGATTGAACCCAATTTTGATCGCACTCACCAATATCAATTTCAGTGTTCAGAGACTGATCCAGTTTTTGAAAAGTTTCTGACGTATTGTGCAGGTGGCCCCACATGTCCTCCAGGCACTGTTGCCAATCCTCAGAAATGGCATCCGGTTTGTCCCAGCGCGGCGAAGGCCGCAATCGTCCTTGAACTTTAATCACGGTACCTTGATTGAGTTGAATCCAAAAACCTTTGTGATCCGACAAATGAACGGAAAAGTTGTGAGAAACATAAGTCAAGGCATTCATCGTGTTAGTCATACACCAATCGATGACCCTGTTGCTAGTCCATCGACTACCTTGGTTGGAAAAATTGCTGAGGAGCTGACCACCCACACATTGCAACCATTGGGCTAACCCACTCTTGGTAGGCTCCACATTGAAATCGCCCACGACGGCCCATTGTTTGTGCCGTAACCTATGAGCTTCCCAGAACTCATTCCAAGCTTCCATAGCAACGCTTTCATGTCCCGGGGGAACGTACACATTAATGATACAAAGACCCGACACCCAAAGAGCCAAACCTTGAGTGCCATGATGAGAGAACCGATCACCAATGAGATGTTGAACATTCCGGCGAACCAACCAACAAACCCCACCTCGAAATCGGTTAGTGGACCACCGATCTTTGGAAACCGGACCTTGCTGATAGTAACCCACAAAGCCTTTTCTTTTGCAACTTAAAGCAAAACCATTCCATTCCCTATCACTGAAATTAGCTTCTTGCAGAGCCACCAGGTCAGCGTCCAAAAAATCTTCCGACAGGAGCCGCCAAGCTCCAGGACTACCACCAGTGTTTAAGACCAGCAGCCGAGGATTGTACGAATCACTCCTGAGGGCGCGGCCAGGTCCAGGGTTTTTGGCCTCGCCTAAGCGGACCCCCCGCCACCCTCCAAGTGAGCTATTTTGAGAATGAGCAATTTTACTCAAATCATTACAACTAAGAGTAGACCAGGGAAACACTTCAGACATGTTTCCCCGTCGCCACCATCACTCACCCGCTTGGGTGTGATTGGAACCCAAAAGAGCGTCTATGGCTTCCTTAGTCCAACCAGACAGGGCACAAAAATCCTTCGCCCATTGTGGCTCCTGAGATTGAACCTTGGTCCACCATTTTCTCCGGCACGTGCGCAGCGCGCCCGATGCTGACAGAAGTTTCAAATTTTGTTTGCAAGTACGTTTGGTTTGAGCAGGGTGTTTGATCAGCCTAGATAAACACACTTTACAAAACACCGCATGGCCAGCCTCAGTCGTTTCATGAGGGGGACGCCGAATCAGAAAATGTTGGTGTTTCCTCACAACTTTGACACGTTTCTTATCGAGAGTGGCCGCGTTTTTGGGGCCACATTTATTAGGCCGATTTTTCCTTTTGAGAAATTCCAGAGTTTTGGGGGTGTGTTCAGGATGATCGATTTTGCAATGCTGAGCCACCGCCCGTTTGTAATCCTGATAAGGCAAGGAGGGAAGCCCTTTGTCACAAAGTGGACAATCCCAAGCTCTTGTGCCTTGAGGCAGGTCAGCACTTGCAGGAATAATGTCACGTTTTCTGTAAGTTTGAACTAACGAAAGGTCAAAAGTAGGATGACGAGATTTCATGTGCCACCTTTTGGCAGAAGCGAGAGAAGCCGAGTTACAACATTTAAGTTCATGTTGACACACAGGGCAATTCCATGTTTGAGACTGCAAATAAGCAGGTTTATCTTTCTTCAACTGTTTCCGCAGATCCTTACTTTTTTGACTCAAAATCCCACTCCGACAAGTCATCAGCAGTGGTCACTGTATCGGGCAGAAACTTGGCACCATCACCTTTTTTCCGCGACTCTCCCGCCTGTGACCGCAGCCTGAGATGCTTCTGGGGTCGGAACTTGGTCGAAGTAGGAGACACCGGTCGGATTCCAGAACAGGCCTGTGTTACTGACACCTTACCATCCTCGGGTTTGAGCCAGGAAGAACAGCTGCTTGTAGCCGCAACCCTTGGAGCAGGTCGAGGCCGAGCAGATTTCCGAATGGTGGAAACTGAAGGAGTTGCTTGTCTTTGAGGTCGGAACCATTTAGAAAAAGCCACCGAAGAGGCTTTCAAACTGCGCCCCGAGCTTTTAGCAGGCCCAGGGACTTGTTTCTCTTTTTTCTCAGTAGTCACTTTCTGAGGTCTGAACCAACTGGACCCAGCAGGACTAGCGTCCGTAAGGCCCGAACCTTGCGCAGAACCAGAAGCATTTTGCCTGCGTAAAACCTGCTTTTTCACTGTTTTAACACTCTGAGGTTTAAACCAAGAATAGAGACTGTCAGACTTCCCCGTCTTGGCCGACTTCGTAGTGCTACCGCGGGCACTGCCCGCATAAGCTCTTTTACCGCCGCCCAAAAAACTGAGCGCCGGACCAACATCCTTGGGGTCAAAGTCGTGCCAATGCGAAGGCAAAGGCACAGACGGATCAATGGTCTGAAAATGACCATTTTTCAAAAACAAAGGAATAGGCTCCTTGCTGCTGCACTTGGAGGGGACGAACTTCTGAAAGTAAACCCATTGACCATGCAAGTGTTTGAAAACCACTACTTCGCTTTCCAACACTTCAGCAGCGGCAAAGCAGTTAAAACTGTCAAACCATTTGTTGTTTCGTTTGCAGGCTTGCAAGTAGGAAGAGACGTCAGTGGGGACATCACCACCTTCAGTTACCTCCGTAGCCTCTGGGTCAGCAAACCAACTCTGATGCCAGGAATCGTTTTGAGCCAGAAACAGAGTAGTCTTGGTACGAAAGGACAGAGCCAGTTTGGCTATGTTTTGAACCACATCCTCCTTCTTTTTTCCGTTTCGCAAGCTTTGTGCGGCAACCAAGCAACGGAAGCCACAGTCACCAAAACCTCCCAGGTCCCACTGTGGGACCCCGTCAGGTCCTAGTTTGTCCAAGTCCTCCGTGACTTTTGTTTTCTTGTCAGCAGAAAAACCACTAGTTCTGACTTTTTTCTTTTCGGGACTACCATTTGAGGAGCCATCAGGACCCTTTTTGTTGGATTGTCCCTGACTAGCTTCAGGCTGGGACTGTTGCGTCTCGTCCGTTAGGGTCGCCGGACAATCCGGCATTTCAGCATCCTTTTCTTCGGCCTGCACCTCCTCTGCAGATTGCGCTCTGGTGATCCAACCTTTGGCACCCCAGAGCGGTTCTGTAAAAGGTTTCTTAAGGGGCGCGGGCAACCAAGGTGAAATAACCAACGGTTTAGCCGCCCCTATTTCCAGAACCTTGCAAGAAGCATTTCCGCTTCCAGACCAAACAGCTTTAAACGTCCAAATTCCCCCTTTGTGACCAGGAGGAGTGACATCTCCAAAGGCCTCGAAACCTTGGCCATTCAAAACTTGGGAAAAATCGACAGGACCCCAACCATTTGGAACCCCTTTGACAGCCCATCTCCTACGGCGTTTGGAGTCATCCTCTTCAGGTTTGATTCCAAGAAGGCCTAAGTTGTTGCGGCCGCCACGTCTCAAAACAAGTCCAACCTTGTGTTTTTTTGCCAAAACTCTCGCCTCAGCCAAATAAGCACTGGGTAAACGCTCCCCCCTCAAAAGCCATTTGATGGGCTCTCGCTCCTTCGGAGCATCATGCTCCAAACGCTGGTAAATACCATGTTTCCACCCGCTCCTCTGTATGATGGAAGCCCAATCAGCCGCAGGAGCTTTGAAAAAACTAATCACAGCCTCCTCCTTAGAGCTATTGTTGACATGCCAACCATAGGCTCTGGCCGAAACCCCTTCCGGCAAACTCTTCATCAAAGTGTCAGTCGGTTTTTTAACCGTACTGTTCCAGTCTATGGGGGTCAAAAATTCCCGGTTGAACACAACCCGGAAAGTCGACAAGGAACCATTTTGGGGGATCGTATCCACCTTTTTAACATCAGGTCTTTCAGACCAATTGGGTAAATTAGAACAAAGGGGGACAACCAGAAAAGATTTCCACCTACCCCCCACCAAACGCACCCATTGGACCGAAGCATTGGAAAAAGAATGGTCAGAAGTACCCGTAGGTAAGTCGACCAAAACCAAAGCCAGATCAACCTCGATCTGGTGAGTTTCAGCAAGTGCACGCAGTTGCACCGCATCCTTAGTCGTGACACAGGCTACGTTGCCTGTGGGCGCATTGCCTTGCTCCAGGGTGTCCATGAGCTGTTTCCTAGTCATTTGACCAGTTTTCCACCAAGTGGCATCAAGCTTTGGTAAATTTTGGTAACATGGCCAACACCGGTGGCTTATATAACGTCGGCTGTGCACTTTTCCTCCCCCAAGTGGGGGGCCCAGTTCTGTCGCCAGTTCCCGAGGCAACCTTACGAAGTGGTTTGTCCTGGGCCGTGTTTTGACCAAACCGCTCCACTAACTGCCGTAGCTTAGACAGCAAGTTACCTTTTGACCCAGTTTCAAACTCCAAAACTAACGCCTTCAGCTGTGCCAGAAGAGAAGTTTCGTCACGTGCAAAAGTGACTTTTTTGTCCGTCGGGCCTGAGCCCACTTTCAAACTGGACTTTAATTGATCCGCAGTGGATCCCTTACCCTTCCCATTCTTGTTTTTTTTTTAACCTCTTGCCAGCCAGGAGACTCATCCCTCCGAGTTGTTTCAGGAGAAAGTCTTGGGGCCGGACGTCCTCTCGGACTGCTAGGCGGGGAAAATCCCTGGTCATTTTCACTGTCATTTTCACTGTCAGATCCTCCAGTGTCCAAGTTTGCCAAAAGGTCTTTGAGTCCTTGCAGCAAAACTCTTTCTTGCCGTTTCCTCCCAGTCGCATGGGAGCCACCAGCTCCACCCTTAAAAAACGTTTCAGGGGCAAAAAACTGCGATGGCACTGAGGTGTCACCGCAAACTGACTTGGCCCAAGAGCCCACCAAACCAAACTGCTCAAAAAGTTGAATTGGCTGTCTTCTTCGAGCCTTGTGTCCCTTTCCGAGGGCCCAAAACTTTTTGCCTTTGACAAATTGTAGCCCAAACCTTCCTTCTGTATCGAAGTCTGGCATGCTTATGTCTGCTTTTCCCGAACCACCGGGCCGCCCAACAGGCGATCCAAGAAGAATCAGAACCCTTGTGAGTTAAGTCTCTTCCAGAGTACTTATTTCCAAAACCGTAAGTTCCCTTAGGTTTCCCAGGCCTGCAGAAAACAAACAGAAAGCAGAAAACGCGTATCAGAGAACAAAGCTTCGTTTGGTCTCCGTTTTTCCGTTTGTATTTCTTCCAGCGACGTTTCCAAGTTTTCTTCTGAAACCAGAAACACATTCCTAACCAGCAAGTAGTGACCAGGGAAACAAACAAGCAGAGAGCAAGTCCCAAAACTGTTTCCTCAGGTGTCCAACTAATACAAGGCACAAATAGTTCCCAAGACACTTCGGCACCTGTCAAGATGCCGTTGCTCGCAGCACAGGCAATGCAGCTACTCTCAGCGCTGCACGCCAGCAAATCCGGCCGCCACGCCACCATTGCCGCGGTCAGCGACCCGTCGCTCAGGGAGCCATTTAGGCTTGGTTTAAGTTCAGCCAAGGTGCTTGTAGTAGAATTCCCGGAAACCGTCCCCAAAGAACCGGACCAAACCCAAAACCACAACCAGGGGACCAACCACCGGGGGACCAAACCACCAACACCGTTAGCTTTTCGAGTATGCAGGGTAGTGTTTCGTGCATCTTTTGGCGACGAGTACGTCACCTTAGTGGGCTCATCGGCCATCTTGTGTGCACAACTACCATCTTGTCTTCTCATTTCGACAGGCTCTTCGGCCTGTCCTTTTTGAATTCCCTTTTTGTCAAAACTGTTGTCATCAGCGTTGCCATATCTTTTTTCACCCTTTTTTTTAAATTTATTTCTTTGTTCTTGGCCATCTTCTCGGGGCCTTGACTGAACGTCAAAACTCACTCTCTTCGTACCCAGAGACACCAAAGTCTCCAGGCCCGCCACCGGCACGATGGAGCCGTAGTGAAGGTGGCTGGGACAAAGAATGTGCAGAAGAAAGTTAGAAAGAATGTCAGACAAGTATGTTATATATTACTTGCAAACTCGCGCGTGTGTGGTAGAGTGACCGGGGCAATGCCACTTCTTACTTTGCATGGTGGAACGTTATTGGATGTTTTTTGTCGCTTTTTTCCAGCCAGACCCGGAGAAGAAGAGCGATACATGATTGCCACCTTCAGCCACGCCCAATCGGATGCCATTTCCAATGATGTCTATCGCGCGCGAACATGTCATACTGCTTGCTCGTATCGTGTAGCCAGTTTGCGCAACAAGCATTTGGCCTTGAAGACAAAAGAGCAAGAGATGAAACAACGCTGGCAGCCTAAAATTTTGGTCATTCAAGATGAAATCAGTTTGGTGCCAGCTGCAGTGGAAAACATGATGCTTTACCGCAGCATGCGCGCCCGTCAAGATGAAGGCCTTGATCCAGCCAGCTATTTCCACCCAGGAGAGCTCATGGGACACATACCAATTTTGCTGATTGCAGGTGATTTTTTGCAGATCAAGCCTGCCAACGAGATCTCCTTAGCTGACAATCTCGAAGAGCTGATCCGCAAAATGCCGCACAGAGTGCAGACAGAACACCATGCTGCCCAGGCGGCATTGATGACCATTGATACAGTGATTCATTTGAAGAAGTCGAAGCGGTTTCTGGATGCTCACCCGCCAGAAATCACAACAGCCATGCGCACGTGCACGCCTGCTGCTCCTTTGTCCGAGGATCACTTGGCTCAGCTGCGCACTCGCAAAATCGAAAATTGCAAGAAAGAACTAACCACGGACTTGTTCAAGCATGGTCACGTCATTGGAATGTATTGGGAGAACATTGCTCGCAGCATGGTGGAACGGGCAAATCGAGATGCGCAAGACCTGGATGTGCCGTTATTTTGTTTGCAAGCTGCTGACCAAAGGCATTCCAGAAAAAATAAAGCCATAGACAAGCAGCTGACACATCAGCTGCTCACTGTTCCAAACCCGCATCGCACTGGCAAATTGCAAGGCATGCTACTGGTGCACGAGAACATGGTTGTGCGACTGGCGGATGTCTTGGCTCCACACCTTGGATTGGTTAAAGACAAACTGGCAGTGGTAGTGAAAGTGGATTTGCACCATGAAGATCAGAAGCGCCTGGACCGTCGGGAACCTGGATTCTGTCAGTTTTTCCGGACTACATGGCCAAAGGTATCTGGGTGAAATTACTTAAAGGAAAGAATTCGCCCATGGAAGATGCTCTGTTGCAGACGTGGGAAGAAAAGTTTCAGAATGTGGCCGATCACACAACTGACGCAAAGACATTGTTCTTTGTGGAATTGGTGCATGCAGAGTTCAAAATTGATTTGAAGCTAGGCGAGGAAACCGAGAAAATTGAAGTGATTCGCTGGCAGTTTCCTCTTTTGCATGGCATGCTGCGCACTGCTTACAGCGCGCAAGGCTTGACTTTGGACGGAGGTGTGCTGGTTGATTTGCGTCGTGGTGGTGGCCTAGAGGATGCCGACTGGTGGCTAGCCATCTACGTCATGCTGACGCGTGCCCGCAAACTGAAGAATCTCATCTTGCTGGGGTTCACGGAGCAAGTGGAGGAGCTTTTACGCAGAGGCCCTCCTACCTACTTGCGAGAACTGACTGACAAGTTGGAAACCAAAGCTGCTTCGACGCTGGAGCGGCTGCAGTCCTGGCCTGTCTATGATGCATTGCAAGCATCCTGACACAGTGCTCTGCCAGTGGGACCTAATCGGTTTTGACTGAAGAGGTCCGGGGGAGGCATAGGCCTGACACGTTGCTCTACCTGTGGGACCTAATCGGTTTTGATTGAAGAGGTCTGGTGGAGGAATAGAGAGTTGCAGCTGCAGCGATCTGGTGAAGTAACACTGGCATGGTTTTGTCTAGTTTACACACGAGCTTGCGAGCTTTTGACTTTGGTTCAGGTGGTCCACTGGCTTGTTTCAGTCATGTTTTTACAAACATGTTTGACAGGCGGTGTGCTGACATGTTTGGGCATGTTTGTTTGTTTGGCTCAGGTGGTCCACTGGCCTGTTTGGTCATGTTTAAGCAAACCTGTTGAGAGCTCTGGAGTTTACTTCACATGGCCCACTGACATGTTTATATCCTGTTTGACAGACTGACATGCACAATGACCTGCCAGGTGAAACAAATGATTGGGATAGTTAGTTGGGCAAAAGTCCCGTGACAAAAGCTTCAGACAAAAGTGGTGTCAACAAGCTGTTTTGAAATGTCATGGTGGGGATCACTCGAAGCAAAGTATTTTTTTTATTTCTTTTTCTGCTGTCTTGATATATGATTTAGTCCGGTGATGAAATAAGCCGTGGCCAGTCGCTTGCCGTCTTCCAGTCCCTCACTCCCTGAAGCCCAGAAACTTTGAGGATCTTGATCCTAAAGACCTTCACAATCCTCACCAATCTGATCAAACCTTAGTGACTTCAGATTTGATGTGCCTCCCAGTTGGTAAAGGATTTTAAAGTTTCATAACAGGGAATAATTCCACACAACTGGGTTGCAATAGAGTTATCTTACCCCAAAAGATGTTGCACCCGAATCGGGAGGTCGCCACAAATGTCGATGTTTGCGGCTCTGTGACGGCAAAACCTGAGCAAGCCGGTTCCTTAGTCGGTGCAGGGTATGGGAGGGTGCAGGGTGTGACGGTGTGGGGGGGTATTGTCAACCCGAAAATAGTAAGGCAGTCATGGGAGATGGTGACCATTATGACCATCAAATAGCAACTATCAGGTATCTCATGGATTGAGTTTACCCATGATAAAACTGATTTAGCATAGCAACTTTAAAACTATATCCGCGTACATATCTATATATATATATACACCATGGTTGGTTGTTTCAACTCCCCACATCTGGGTCGGTTGAGATCCCCCGGAGAAACCTGGAACTATGAGGTCATTACCATCTATCCCATCCTGGAGACATTTTGTCTATCTTTTTGGGGAGTAGTATACAATACTATTAATATACTTTATATTATGTATATATATATATATATACTTCCGATGGTTTACACCCCATGGCATCAGCTTCAAGCTCTGCCATCTGCCATCTAGCTTCCGCCAATTTCAGCCTCTTGCCCGGAGGCCAACCTGCCACAGACATTGCTAGGCCATGCTGGGGCATCCCCCTTTCGGCCCACCCACTGGAAACTTGTGCCATTTTGGGAGAGTTACCCCCTCTATGCATCGCAACCATCATTCCAACAGAGGAACCAAGCCCTTAAACACCCTTGGATCAAGAGGAGCTCTTGAGCCCCACAGCTTTTCCACCAGCACAATCATGGGTGATAGCATCCCCTGAGAAAAAACAAATACTCAAAAATGGAAGTCTCTTCCAGACTACGCAGTTTGGTAATGATTATACCCTTTGGTCATTTGACACTACTGTGGAAAATCACGAATTACAAAAATTACTTTACTTCGTGTGATCCACACCATGACATTTATACATGTTCTTACTGGCACATCTTCTGGCATTCTATCTGGCATATCTTCTGGCATTCTATTTGGCATTCTATCTGGCATATCTTCTGGCATATCTTCTGGCATTCTATCTGGCAAATCTTCTGGCATCTCTATCTTCTGGCATATCTTCTGGCATTCTATCTGACATATCTTCTGGCATTCTGGCATTCTATCTGGCATATCTTCTGGCATATATTCTGGACATATCTTCTGGCATTCTATCTGAAATATCTTCTGGCATATATTCTGACATATCTTCTGGCATATCTTCTGGCATATCTTCTGTCATGTTTCTGCACATTCTTTGTCCCATATCTTCCTACATGAGGTCCGGCAGGGAACACTTGGCATGGATACTCGCGGTTGAGGTCCGGCAGGGAACACTTGGCATGGATACTCGCAGATGAGGTCCGGCAGGGAACACTGGGCGTGGCTGGTCGTGGTTGAGGTCCGGCAGGGAACACTGGCGTGGCTGGTCGTGGTTGAGGTCCGGCAGAGAACACTGTGGATCGCGGGTCGCAGTTGAGCAAGGACGAGACGACAAGGACGACAAGGATGACAAGGAGGACGAGGAGGACGAGGAGGAGAGGAGGAGGAGGAGGAGGACGAGGCAGGAGGCAGGAGGCAGGAGGCAGGAGGCAGGAGGCAGGAGGAGGCAACTGACATAAAATCTAACAACCCTCACCTGGCAGGTGGGGAATAAGTTTCTGAGAGGTAAACCATTGAACTAAATGGGCCATCCCTCCATGTATGGAATACTTATCTACCAATATCTACCTATCTATCTACCCCAACCATGGCCTAGAGGGTTGGTAAAGTTGGAGCCACTGGGCAAACTGTCAAATGACCAACCGAACCAACATCAGCGAAAAAATCGGGGATGAAGCGCGCCTTGGAACCTGGATCCCAAGAGTCCCATGACATCAATGTGTTTTTTTGGGGAACACAATGTTCATCATCTGGTTGGTGGTTTTAACCATCTTGAAAATATGCAAGTCAGTTGGGATGACTATTCCCAATACATGGAAAATAAAAAATGTTCCAAACCACCAACCAGACAATGTTCATCATCAAATAACACATCAAAACATATCATGACACATCATGACACCCCTTACGCATCAGGACACATCATGACAGATCAGGAGACATCATGACATATGACACACTACACCAAGATGGGTGTATAGTTGCCGCCCGCACTTATGTATGTTCATGTGTTTTGCGGGCTGCAACTTTTTGTCTTTAGGATGATCCGGCTGCATCCCAGCAACTGGAGCACGATATCAGAGAAACCGGTGCCAGCAAGAAGTATGTCGAACCAATTCCTGATCCCACCGGTGCCATGGGAAGGGGGTCCCACCTTATCGTGGCGCATGGCCATTGTGATGTGGTTAATATATGTTAGTATGGCATACGCAACTGTGGGATAATGGGACAATGATGGATGGTTGCCGAATGAAGATCAAAAAAGATCATAAACCATCCCCAACTATATGATGTATATTTATTACCCTCTGGTAAACTAACATAGCTATGGAAAATCACTTTTTTTTAATGGGTAAATCCACTATAAATGGCCATTTTCAATAGCTATGTTAGTTTACCAGAGGGTTTATGATATTCATGATAGGATTTAAATAGAACTATACAATATAACATGTTGTTTTTTATTGGGTATACCTCTGGGATGATGTAACGTTTTTCCCGGGATGGGATTCTGGGCCGGGCCTCGACAATACAACAGCCGCTTCCAGCTGTGTTGTTTCAAAGGTCTTTGAACCGAACCCCAAAATAATAGAGGAGTAAGATCCTACAATAATCTAAACATAGTGACGATTTGCGGTCTTATCTTGTGTGCAGCTTCCTATATTCTTTGCGGGTTGCAAAGAACTTTTTCAAGGAAACCTCATCTGCTTTCAAGCGTCATCTGGCTACTTGAACCATCCCCTATGTGGCCTATGTGGATAATGTGGTATTTTTTGATTGAGGTTTACCACATTCACTGATATTTGCTTAAGATTGTCCGAAAATAAAGATACTGTATTCTTTACATATTCCCTGTATAAATATTGGATTTACCAATGGGAACACAAAACAAAGGAAAAAAACAAAACACCTTCAGAAATTTTAAGTTGACAAACCCACACACACACACATTGGCACCCACACCAATGCCAAACAAACATTAATCAACACTGAAACAAGCAGGGACTGGGTCGCTTGCCAAGCATCCAATAGCGCTCGGGACCACACCAATACTGGCGGCATCGCAGCAGTCGCATGCGAAAGGCAATTTCCATCCACAATACCTTGGAGCGACCAAAAGTTGGAATATTGTGAAGACAATTGAAGAGACCCTCCGGTGTCATCAATCGTGGCACTTAAAAGTAGCCTACAGATTGAGTTTCATAGCTGGGAAAATAATCGAACTATATGGTGGATTTTCCAGCAAGCCATGTTTGATTACAGGAGGGTATATGCAAGGAAATCAATGATGTAGGCGACAGTGAAAGGGGAACATTGGGGCACACATAAAGCCCAATACGGAGAAGCAAAAAAACAGATCAGGACATTAGGGATAATAAGGAAATAAAAAAAAACAGCAAATCAGGATTAAAATGCAAGTTTCAACTAACAAGACTTTCAATGCAACCAGCATCAGGATGGAACTGGCAGTTACAACAGGCTGCACCACCTCCCCCGTGGAATGCTCACTGGTTTCATAGCAGGCTTAGCCCGGACTGAGCCATAGGGATGGAAAAAGTTTCCGTAGATTCGTAGATTTTAAGCCAGGGACATGTTTTCTCCTCAAAGAGCGAGGAGGAATAACCTCTGGTAATCATAAAGTTTGCTATGGAAAATTGCCGTATAGGCAAATCCTCGAACTAAATGGGCCATGGCTTCCGTTAAATCACAGCGTCGACCAACACATGGTGGACAAATTTGAGCCCAGAAGCAAAAGCAAAGCTCATCTCGAAATAGATCCATCCAGTCCATTCTTGATGTGCTGGCTCCTTGGGTACCGTTTTTTTCGGGGTTTTAACTCAACGGGGGTTACTATATACAATGGTTACACAAATCAACAACCCCAACTGCAAGTAGCACCTGGAATCGGGGTTCCAGTAGTTCTGATACACGTTCTGCTACAAACCCATACCAACCCATTTGCAGCGGAGCCATTCTCTGATTTTGTGTTACATGTATCAAAGGTTTGCTGACATCATCAACCCCTTTCACCATTTATTCCCCCACGAACCCTGAGCAACTTTAGATGATTCTTGGGTGCCCCCATTTCCAGAAACCTCCATAAACCTCCATAGACACAAGTCAACAATCAAATGATAATCGAACATTAAACGTCAAACACATAGAAATTACATAGATGTATGGACATCCAACCAAAACATTAAAGGACGAGATAACCCCACATGTCGAGCCTTCTTGCAGTTGAGACAGAAAAACAACGGGATAACTACTGGATGGGCAAAAATACAGATGTTGTCAGACAAAAGAAAACAAGACGTACATAAATGACAAAACAAACATGACAGGCAAGTTGGATGGAGAGAAGTTGAAGAGCGGCACTTTTGATAGAGAAAATAATGACGGATCAAATTTGGATAGAGCTACAATTGCTAGAGGTACCTTTGACTCTGACAGACTCAAGCCTTGATAGAGGTGAGTTCGAAAGAGAAAAGTAGTATGGAGAGGATTTGGAGGAAAAAAATCATGAATTGACATCATCATCCAAAGCAAGGTTGAACATGACCAATGCTTAAAACCACCAACAACTCACCTGAACAAGGATTCTGGGCAACCCATCACAATTCCCAAACCTGAAACAAACCATCTAACTCGGTCACGCGCCGGATTCGGAAACTGGAAAAACGTGATTCGGAAACTGGCATGAGCGCTCTAACTGTAGGCTCCAACAACTAACCTGCATCTCTAGTATGGTGGTATTATCCCTTTGCCAACTTTATCCTGCAAGAACTGCTTGATTAAGAAGGGGTTCCCAAATAGTCGGTCATACCAATCCGCGAAAAACCAGCTAGTCTAACCCCCTGCAAGGTGAGGCCCCCAAACGATAGCTAACTTGGTTGAGAACTAGGTTAACTATATGGTTTATATTGGTTTTTGGCAAATAGAACTATAGCTCCTGGAGGTGATAAATCAACAAACATAACTGGGGGTGGGTACCTTGCACAATAAGCCATCACTGCCCGGGATCATGTCATTTCACTCGCCCCAAGTGGCGGTTTGGAATCCAATCATCACGCCGTTACCGATGATCAACAGAGCCACCAAAGGCTCGATGTAAACCAAGGGGTGAACTGCCTGCAGCGGATTGAAGGGACTAGTTTCAGTTTGGAAAAGCTAGAAGCATCGAGGTGATTGGAAACGGATATTTGATTAATATATTGGAAAATGAGAAAAAACATACACATAAGAATTGGATAAGGATTGGTATGATTGAGTGATACCGCCCAATACACTGATTCATGGATTTTGCATCATCATTATCTAATCCACTAAAAAAGTTTTACAATAATCAACTGGGAAAATATTATGATATGCATACATATATACAGTATATATATATATACAGTATATATATATACAGTGTATATATATGCATAATCCTTTATAATATGGATGAGTAAAATATGGATGATAAGATCTCCGGGTGATAAGCCATCAACAGGGGTCATGACGAACCCTCGCCACCTCGGGTGGAGACGCCAGGTCGTTGATGCGCACCTCGGTACCGTGCCGTGGTGCTTTTTGGAGTGGATTGAAATGGGACTTTAGTGTACAATATACCGTTAATAATGGTTAATATATGGTTATTATATGGTCAATGATGGTTAATAAGGTTAATAATAATCTTGTTGGTGGTTTCAACCATCTTGAAAAATATTATCTAGTCAATGGGAAGGATGACATCCCATATATGAAATGGAAAATAAACAATTATTGAAACCACCAACCAGCTTTAGTATTTGTGTTGGGGGGAATGGGATGTTGATGATGTTTAGTAGATTTAATAATGGGAAATTTGCAAGTTTAGTGATGTGTAATGTGTAATGACGTTTAGTGTCATCTTTCATCGGATTTCTACTGGTTGGAGGTTTTGCCAAAATTGTGTTTAACCATCAAACGTGACTAGTTGTTTAAAAATGGCGGGCAATGGGAAATCCCGGAACTAAACGGAGGTTTTCAGGTTTATAGCCGGAAAAGTCTCAAATTCAATGGCTTACCAGCAAGCCAGGTTTGATTGCCAAGGGTAGCCGTGGGGAATTTAAACATATTTAAGCAACCTAAAGGTTTACCAGATTCAACTTCAACCAGTACTTCTGATGGGTACCTAGAGATAAAGATTATGAGGGTGGTGATGGATCAGGTTGCATGGCCAATTGGTCATTGGTACTTGGTGGCTCACCCCAAGAATCCCGTTTCTGGTTCAGTTCACCCCAGTGAACTGAATCAAACTTGATGTGCTAAGCCGCTTCTTGCCCTGAATTAAATAGGTTCCATGGAACCACCCTGATGATTCCTGGGGTGAATCGTGAAAGATGGTACGGTGCGGGCCTCAGGCTATACGATACGTCACCGGTTACTGAATTCCGATGGTATTGGGTTCAAACTAAAACAAGAAATAACAAGTTTTTGCGGGGAATGTTAGAAGAAATCATATGTAAAAACATGTAAAAACTCTCGTTTAAGACAATTGGCCAACAAATAATAATAAATGCATGCCAGAATTTAGGAGTTGTGCAGCCAAACAATCAATAATCTATAATCAATAAAAAAAAATGGAGGGATTCCTTCCTGAAATTGGGGTTCAATCTGTAGTTGAATATTAACTGAATGTTAACCTTGAGATGCTCATCTCTGGGGTGCCTGCCATACTTACATCATACTTTGGATGACTCAACGACCTTGGATACAGCATGAAAAACTATCGGGGGGCAAAGCAAAATAACTTGGCTTATCCGAAATAAAACCATTCAATGATGTACAAATGGATCAAAATGGTACAAATCCTCAATCCAAGATGGCAAGCCAAAATTCAATCCATCAAATTGTTCGAGTGTCCGTTTGTCAAGCCTGTTGGTGATTGGTTTATTCTACCAATCACATTCTCTACCAACCAACCTTGCAGAATAAAAAAATCAATTCAGACAAGTGTTCATTTCGAAGGTGTGTGTGTGTGTGTGCGTGTAATCCGTTAGCTATCATGCAGTTAAGAATTAATTAAAATCATGTTTTTCCAAGCAGTGGCAAACACAGCACGGTGGAAACTCCACCCACCGAAGCTATCCAGTTGTGCTGGAAGCAGAGTCTGATTAACTCTGTGTATTTTTGCTAAAGGTACAGTAAATGCATGTAAATGCTGAGTTTCAATATGCGATGGCGACCGGCTAAGCCTAGAACCGGAAAGCATTCCACAGTTGATTAGTTGTGAAAACAGGAGTTCGACCTAGGGCATCTCAAGGCGTCGATTTTGTCACCATCATAAAGTTCCAGTTCAGAGTAATTTACTTATATAATCTTATATACTCACTCTATCAGAAATGTGTCTTCAAAATGTCCCATGCGTTGGCAATCCATGGCTCTCGTGTTGACCCAGCAACCACCAGCCTGGCGTTGCTGGCAATCCCAGAACTTGATGAATTGGATTAAATTGGAGAACGTTGAAATGGTAATAGCCATGGAAAGATCCACCCATTTTTAATAGGTAAACCACCTATAAATGGGTCATCTACTATACCATGGCTATGTTAAATAACCAGAGGGTATATACTACACTTTATTCACTAGACAAACAAAAATGGCATCCTCATTTGTTCACTGCTCAAAAAAACATCCAGCTGTTCCAGGCCAACTGCTACTTGGCCAAGATGCAAATGTGAGCTCAGCAACCAGGCGGTTGGTATCACCAGCTAAAAGGATCTCCTCAAAACCCGCGGAAAATATACCCTCCGGTGTCGACAGCGCTATGGGCTGGGAAACCCACCATAACTTGGCCATGAACTGGGAGCCGCTCGTGGAAATAACCATCATCATCATCATCATCATCCTCATCCTCATCCTCATCCATAAAACAACCAGTAATTAGTAACCCAATATCAAGACAATGGTGAACATCTTCCTCCACAAAAACACGACATCGACAATCGATCTCAAACTCAACATCATTTCTCATTTTTCATTTCTGTGGCATGAAAGGTCAAACCTTGTCAAGGTATGTCAAGGTCAAAGGTCAAATCATCATCACCGGTTAAAAACAAACAGCAGCACTGGGCTCCTTCATCGCGCGAAACTGATCCATGCGTTTGCTGCCGAAAATGTGTTTGTGCGTCGGGCCTGACGCAGGAGGCGTGAGTTGGTGCACGAGGAATGTGCCGTGGCTGGTTGCGAAATCCTGAGCCGGTTGGTAGATGGTTTATATAATGGTTTACATCATATCCATCTAAAATCCCCTTTTTTACGGTGTTTCAGAGTTACCAATTCTTCAACCTACATGGTTATCATCTACAGCCACAGGCTTACTCCCAACACCCCAAGCCAACAAATGATGTAAACTGAGACCAGTGTCGCCCCCTTGTAGCAATCATTTACCTATGATTCTGGGCAAACTAATGCAAACACACACATATATAGATATATACATAATAACTTATTATAATACAATATAATAACAAAACTCAATATTACATAATATAAAATAATATAATATACTATAACACATTGAAAAAATACTATGCATTACCATACTATATAACAAAATAGTATAACATAATAAACTACAATAAAATACAATAACATAATAATACATATAATTAACATGCACACACACACATATTTCTACATACATATGTAATTATGTACGTGTACATATGATTGCATATCAGGAATGGTTACCAAACTGTGCATCTTGATAAACTATTTCACGTACATCAATCCAATTTGTTTGGGATGATTCCCTTTACATAACCCCGGCATTCGTGCCAGATCGTTTGCGCTCAAAGGGCCTTCTTTGGCCAGGAAAACCTGCCCGAAAAAGATGAGATGGCGGGTTAACAACCAAGAAATTGGCAAACACGCGGGGTAGAAATATGAGGGGCTAATGGGATTTTCTCAAGATTTATGGAGATTTCTGGGACTTTGTGAAGATGTATCAGGATTTGTGAGGAAGAAATGGAGAAATACTACGGACAACATGGGGGTTTATGGGAACTGATGTTGATTTACTTGTATTTATCTTGGTTTCATCAGCAAAAGAGGGATGTGGCTGGTAAAGATGGTAATGAGAAATGCGCGCTTCTGTAGGAACATCATCGTGCGTGTGTGGTGCTAGATTGCTGAAGGGTAACCCGAGCAACCCAAAAATGCATCAAACTCATATTGCTGTCGGTTGTATTCCAACTTTTATATATTTCACCATTATTCCCATGATATCCCAACTAAATCCCTATTCTTAGGGTATATCGATTATATATAGAGATTTAGTTGGGATATAATGGGATATATACATGATAACTATATTCCCAGTTATATATAACTAAAACTATATGATAACTTTATATCACTATACTACGTACATTTCTCAATATCACCGCCACAGGCCTCCATTAAGGCTTGAGCTGGTGCCACATTGAAGTTGCCTCGGCGATGCGGGTGGTTGGTGGTTGCAATGCAGATATGGAGGTTTCCTAAGTCATAGGTGTACCCCCAGTCATCATCCATTCTTGTTTGGGATTTTCCATTAGAAACCATCATTTTTGGGTACACCCATTCTAGGAAACCTTCATATGTGCAAGTAGGTAGGTAGATAGGTAGATAGATAGATAGGTAGATAGAGAAAAATGGAAAGAAATAAAGAAAGAAAGAAAAAAAAAAGAAAGAACCAAATATAGATAGATGGATATATTATATACAGTATAGAGAGAGAGAGAGATAGAGAGAGAGAGAGAGAGATAGATAGGTAGATGGATAGGTAGATGGATGGGTACATGGATAGATATGGGATGTTCCCCAGTTAGGATGCGATCCCAGTTCGGCGAGAACGGAACGGCAAGAAGATGATCTTGGCCCATCTAGGGGAAGGCATGATATGTCCCTTATTTTTTTGACGGTAACACCCGGTGAGTGACTATGGATCCGTCTTGTGACTCGCGACTAGGATCTAAAACATATCTATATAAAATTATATAAACATATAACTATGACTAGAAATTGCAAGTCCAGTCCCACCAGCACACATACCAACAACGATCAATGATTCCATGAAACATGGCTCCAGAACCATATTTTTTGGATATGATTTCATTGGGCCCATTTATATATATATATATATAATTCCATAGGGTTCCTTGGGTTTCATTAGGTTCTTTCTATACATATGTGAAGCAAAAAATATGGGTCATTGGGTGAGGCCGTTTGTTTTAACATTTGTCTGTTTCCAGTGTTTGCCCACCTGACTAACACCTGACCCCCAAAATCCGGGGGCAGCAGGGGCAGCGGGAGTCGAATTCCCGAAAAAAAAAACTTTGCATTTTACACCCCGCATGGCCCTACATGTAATTTATGCTTTGTTTCATGTTTTTTTTCCACCATGTCTGATACATTTGGGACCACCCGAAGCTCCAGTAACATCAGTAACGTGGCAATGACAGCAATGACCAACCAATTTCGCCACCCATCATGGCCACCATTGCTATTTCGCGTCGTCACCAACTGGTGAAATCACGCAACCATCCCCTGGTTGTTACTATAAATAGCTGGCATAAACTGCATACTGTAAAACATCAATTTTTTTAGCTGGCTTAAATGATTTAAATGACTGCGCGGGGAACTCGGCCTGCTATATCTGCTATTTCTTGCCCGGCCGGCCAGTCTATGTTGATTCCTTATTGTTGCTTTACTACTCATGTGGGTAAAACGATGTCATGAACCACCCATGCCTGGGAATGGTAAACATACCACCCATTTATAAGTGATTTGCGGGATGGTTTATGGCATAATTTTAACCACATTATGTTCATTGCCCAAGGTCTATCTTCATCCCCAGACGTCCGCCGTTTCGGCTCGGCGCATTTGATCTCGGAGTCCACCATGCTAGTGGTGGTGGCAGTGACGCTGCCTGAGGACCAGTGCGGCGTTAAAGGCTTACTGGTCATCAAAGATGGCTGGGAAATCCCCGAACCAAATGGAGGTTGATAGCTGGGAAAATGATATATAATGATAAATATATATATATATATGTATAATTATACAAAGATCTATAAATCCGTGCTCATGAATCATCATGAATCCATATACACATAAACTGGTTTCATCTGTTTTCATACGATTCAAAGTCAAAGTGAGGGAGCCTGATACCTGAGGGGACAATATATATATATATATATATACCAAGTCCAACAGGAAAAAGAACATGTTGGTCCACTTTTACATTGTATCCCTCCAGGATGAGTAAAAAAAAAATAGCGAAAAACAACATCATGGTTTGATATCAGGATTCGCAGGATAGGAATGATCCAGACTAAACCGGGTATAATATCATCATATATCAACTGTATAGACATGAGCGCGGGTCGTGCGTGTCACTCAAAGGTGCTGTTCTCAGCGAGAAATGTATGGGCGACTAGATGTGATTGGATTCAGCATGTCTTATCCAATTTTATCCAATTTCAAGAAACACACACAGGTACAACCAGCAAACACCGAATCATCACACATTTTGATTAACTGAAACCAATTGAAGCCATGTAAACAGAATCAATGAGCATTATTGTCACTAAATTCTGTGCCATTGGCCGTTTGATTTTGGTCATGTTCCAGCAGTGAACCCCATCTGTATTGAAGGTTCTTCAGCCTGGAGATTTAGGGGAAAACCACCATATTTCATGCTTAAAAACATCCTTTACCCTGTTGAAATCGATCACTCTTGTGGTATAAATCCCTCACTTTCAAGACACATCCGCAATCATCTGAAGATGGTTACATCATGTTATATCGTAAACACGCCCCAAAGACCATGGTTAAGTAGGAGATATGCACATATTCGGGACCGTAGAATGGGGGTGTTAAATACGTATACTTTCAATATTAGGGGGATGAGGTGTTTGATCAATATTATTCCCGTTACAATGCCATGATATATGATATATTTAAATACACACACATATACATATATATATATATAACATGTCCATCATGTTCCTATCATATCTCTATGGATCTCCATGGAAAAAATGCATTCTACTCCTCCATTCTTCCAGCCGCCAACCATGGCTAGAGACGTCGCAGGGTGACCTTCACCTCCTTCAAAGCATTGCTATGCTCCGTCACCTGCATCGTTCGGTTACCAGTCACGATTCCTGGCATGACGTGACAACCACTTGCAACAACATGTGAAAACTTGTTCAGCATATCTTCCAGGACACTGAATCATCTTTCCCTCCTGAAATTCACAGTTTACTATTGAAGTCGCAACCTGTTGAATGTGTTTAAGAGGTACAGTACATAAAACATCATAAAACATCGAACAAAAAAAACTAAATGGGCCATGGCTTACATAATATATGCCATAACCATAACTATGTTAAACTATCAAAAGGATCCGGAAATGATCATCGCCATCATCATTTCTCCCTAAGAATGCTGACCCCCTCAATTGGGCACCAGCAAAAACCATTGATCTCAATATTCCACCGGCCAGGGGCTTCTGGATCGGTAATATCCCAAAAATATCAGAACATTTCATACGATTAGATCATAACATGTTTGATGCCCATTATATATAATGATGTAAATATGTATATATATATATATGTATATATATATATATTATCCGCAAGAATACTCAACCAATGGTGGCTATTAGCACATCATAATTTACCACCAATTACCATGTGTTTGTCCAAGCAAATAAGGCACTCCGTTAGCTTTCCATTCATCAAGACAGTTCCATATGGTTCCATCCGAAAATGCCTCCACAGAGAGCCATGGTTAAATCGTTACATCAAATACATGTGCCCCAGCAAAAAAAAAACTTAATGTACCCATCGTCATGTTTGATAGCCCATCTGTTTCATATCCAAAAATATTTTGGCAAACCATTAGTGACAACAACAAATCTCTCCGACCCAAAAAAGAATCATTTGACTTACCTGCTTTGTTGTTGCCCATCTCGGACCAGGACTGGTTGGTTCCCAGCTCCCATGCTGATAACTTCTAGTGGTTAGGTTGTGAAAAACTACCATAAAATATTAAAAACAAAAACACCAAAAAAACGAACAACATGTGGTTGTTGCATGGCTGGAAGCTGCACGATTTGTTGGATGATATATCCACGAAAACACATTCACAATAACAACTCCAAAAGGAACATCCTACAGTTTTCTTTTAGAATCCACATTTCCCTATAGTTGATCATGATTAATCATCATTTTCCCTAGTTAGATCCATGTTCCCTTAGCACAATCTCATTTTCCCTGGTTAAATCATCATTTCCCCTAGCAAAGTCCCAATTTCAAATCACCGGTCGAGTGAGATCATCATTTTCCCTAGTTAGATCACTGTTCTCCCGCGCGAAAATCCCTCATTTTGCCGCCCAAGTCACATCCTTTTGTGTTGGCCAGGCCCAAACAGGCTTTTGGATCTTGGTACTCGCACGCTTTGAGCGTCTTTTTTCCTGCAGGCACTGGAAGTTCTGGGGAACCCAGCAGCTCCCCATGTGGTACTGAGGAGATACGTATCTGTACATATGTACACATGTATGTATGTATGATTATGTATGTATGTATGTATGTATGTCTGCCTGGCTGGCTGTCTGTCTGCCTGTCTGTCTGTCTGTCTATGTATGGATGCATGCATTATATCTATCTATCTATCTATCTCTTTCTATCTCTTTCTATCTCTATCTATCTATCTATCTATCTATCTATCTATATATACATATGCAAATACATACGCATTATTTTACTGCAACTTAATACCGACATTCAATAGGCCCAGTTGGCAGAGTTGCCGCAGGGCTATGATCATAGGTATTTGGATGGTTTTCCAACCATAACCATGTGGGTACCCTAAGTAGCCCGAGTTTTGGCAGTGGGATGCAGCAAAACTAATGGAATATTCACCAACAGCAACTTGCTTTTGAGCCAGCCTGGTCCAAAGATGGTCCATATATTCAACATGGATCCATGAAATTGGAATCCACAAAGACAGACCACAGAAACAACCACACAGGTAGAACCATTTTACAACTGTCAAATTATGGGTTAAATTGATCACCCAAAATGGACGGTACCAATCACTAAATATGGTACCCATGCCGTAAAATCGGAATGTTCATCTTCCCAAATCATGGTACCCTCTGGTAATCAAAAACGGCAATGGACAATGCAATATGTAGTTGGACGTTTTCCACACTAAATCATATTAAACCTCCATTGAGTTCGGGGATTTCCAAGCTAGCCATGTTTTGAGGACACCTGCGGGTAAAGATTTAACCATGGTTTTAACCCATGGTACTGATCTGAATTGGACGCCGAGCATCTGAAAAGAGGAGAGCGATGGATGTATAGCTACTAGTGGAAGCTTCCTGACGTTCGGAACACAGCTGAAAAATGATGAAACATGGGGCCCAACAAAACATAACAAAACCATGGAAAACCTTCTTGAACTGGAGAATTCCGGACAACTGACAGATACTCAACTCGATGACCTCTATGGATCGCAACGGAGGCATTGGCATCGCTTGAGGGAAGAAAAACCGCATCGCAAATGTTAATAGAGAAGAAAAAACTCAACGCTATGTATCTTACATTCTTAAATGTATCCATATATGTATATATATATTAATATACGCAAATTAACTTTACACTATGTATCTTATATAACTAAAGTTGCACCAAATCAGTCTATTAATGTCTACTATGTATGCCACCGAGCTACAGTGAATGACAACATTGGACCATAGTTAGGATATGTTTGGTTAGTTACCCTTGCAACCAACCCATCATTCACAATATTTCACAATCATTTCTGCTGACGTGGCAATGACGTAGTTACGCTTTTCAGCCATATCTGCTGGGCCTGCCTCATCATATGGGTTTGTCTGAACATTTGGAGGAAAAACAAATCAAATTAATTTGGATGGGTTGAAACAGTTGAAACATGATTCTCTCATAGTTTTTCTATGAAAATGCAACGACTGGGGGCGTAATCCTTCCATCTTCAGACACATCCAAATATCATATGGTTGGGCAGATATCCCCATGATCTCCCAAATATCATATGGTTCTTGTTGGTTCTCCCAAAATCAATCAACAAACACACTCATCCACCGAGCAAAAAGAGCTCCTCCTCATCCTCTTCTATCTCCTGCTCCTGGCGCTCAAAACACTTGAGAACCTGGTTAAATCTACGGCTGAAACCAACCCGCTTTCCGGTTTTAACTGTCCCATCATTCAAGTTCAGGACAGATATCCTAAATATCTTAGATAGATAGATAGATAGATAGAGATAGATAGAGATAGATAGAGATAGATAGAGATAGATAGAGATAGATGGAGATAGATGGAGATAGATCGAGATAGATAGAGATAGATAGAGATAGAAAGAGATAGAAAGAGATAGATAGAGATAGATAGAGATAGATAGAGATAGATAGAGATAGATAGATAGATAGATAAATAGATAGATAGATAGATAGATAGATAGATAGAGATAGATAGATAGATAGATAGATAGATAGAGATATAGATATAGATATAGATATAGATATAGATGTAGATATAGATATAGATATAGATAGATATAGATATAGATAGATATAGATATAGATAGATAGATAGATAGATAGGTAGATAGATAGATAGATAGGTAGATAGATAGATAGATAAACACATAGCATACATATGGTGGGCCCCCTATATAGATATATAAGTTAGTTCAGTTCACAACTAGGTGATTTCTGTGGCGTATTGTATATACATAGAAATAACTCTATGTATATACATATATAATATTATATAATTGGGTTGGAAATCAATTTGAGACTTGCGGGGCCCACATTGTATAGGTAGGTAAGTAATGGAATGGAATGTAATGCAATGCCACACAATGCAACGCAATGTAGTGTAATGTAATGTGTATATAGATATGTATAGGTAGGTTAGCTTAGGTTAGGTTAGGTTAGGTTAGTATAGTAAGGTAAGGAAGGGTGAGGATAGGTAAGGTGAGGAAAGGTAAGGGTAGGGTAGGGTAGGTAGGCATCTATATATATATATATCGCATTTATGGATTTGTTCCAAAATAAGGGCCATTGGTGGATCTTCATTGTCCAAACTGGGGGTATACCCCAAACAAAACTTGAACCAAAAATAAATAGCTGCGAACCCAACAGAAAATTTTGAAAAGGTACCCGGAAAGAGATGAGATGGCGAAGAATCCGACTGCTGTGGCAATCAGCTAGGGACACTCAGAGTTTGCTAAGAAATCATTTGGACATGTTTTTAGTGATTAGTGACCTAGGTGGTTCTCTTGAAGGTCAGGTTGCAAACTGGACAATCAACTCTTGACAAAAAACTGGAAATCGTTTTAACATTTACAGGAAACCCGAACCCACAAATTAAGGGATTTCCGGCAGAGCCTGCCTCAAACCATTATATATAGGATGAAGGCAAACAAAAAAAACAGATTCAATGCCACCAAGTCCAGCATGCAACAAGCCGAACGCTCACCAAACCAGAGTCTTGCTGGGATTCATGCCCTGCTGCAATGAAAAAAACATAATTCCCGCATTTACCTGAGATTACAATAAGGGTGATATAAAATACATGTTAAAACATGGCAAAACCATGCTCCCCAAAGGTGCGCATATTGTCGGGCAAGCTGCAGGCGAACACGCCTCCTCAACAAATTTGAGGCCAATAAAATCTGCGAGAAGGTTCAGGAACTCGTTCATTTCCTCAGTTCACTGAGTTGACTGAAGACAAAACCTGTGGACAAAAAAATTGTATAGAGAGAGAGAGAGAAAGATAGATAGAGAGAGACAAAGAGAGAGACAAAGAGAGAGAGAGAGAGATTGAGAGAAAGGAAACAGAAGATACACCCCCCCATGATTTGTCGCCAACACTTTCAGCCGTGTGCAGCCTAGATACCTCCACCGAATGCTTGGTCAAGCCTGCAGATTGAAGATATGTACCCATTTGTTTGGCTCATCTACATATGCAAGTATCTATTCACATGCATCTCTATAGACATGCATATATCATTATATATATATATATATATATATTCTACAGTATATATTCATTTATTGTATGCCAATGACTCTTTATGCATGCATATGTATAGTTAATTATTGAAATTGATTACATCTATGACAGCATATATACATATAACATCATATATATATATATAAATAAATCATATACATCTAAATGAATAAAGATGAAACATATATATATATGATATATATATATATATATATATCATATATATATATGTATACCATATGTTTGTTTTGTAGATCTATGACGCGATGACTGAATATGGACAAACCATCTGGACGGAGCCGCCTGACTAAGGAACTCCCTCACAAGTTGAAGAAACGACCCTTCAAATAGCATTGCAAATAATGTGGGTACAACAATCATAAACCACCCATTTGGGAATATAGTGCAGAAGTTAGGGAACATTTCAAAACCACGAAAGAAATCGGTGTAAATCAGAAACAACTTCACAGATTCTTCCTCTCTGCAATCAATTCCAGGCATTGTTCAACATCGCGCCAAATAATAAATGATGTATCAAACGTGATTTAAAGAATAGCGTGATTTAAAATGTCAAGAATCAAACACATACAAAATTGACAATATGGACAGTGTAGGGGTTGCCAGCTAGAGATTCATAGGGACATGTCCAACGAAAGCAATGTGATGATTCCAATTCCTTACAGGAACTCATATATACATATTGCAAAGAAAGAGAGAGAGAGAGAGAAAGAGATAGACACACACACAATCACATATTTGCAATTATTTGCATATATGTACACCTGCAAAATCCACCTGTGCTAAACTTGGGCCCCTTTAGATCAAAACGCAGATTTTGGCTTAGTGGCTAAGAAAAAACGGGACCCTCAGGACTCATGACCATCCAGGTACAAATAAAAAAACATGAAATTATAATATAAAGTTCCCCTTCTGCAAACTAAAATATGTGGAAAACCCAACAATTTGTACACTAGCTCATTTTCCAAAAGTTTTTTTTCATGGCTTTTTCATATGTTTTTGTGCTTTTCCCCATCCCGTCTTCTGCCACGTTGGCCCTGGCGACGGCCTAGAGATGCCACAGCTGTGTGCAGTTCCTTCCCACTCACCAAGGCGTTGGAGTGAATCGCGTTCAAGCGCAGGCCTCGGAAAGGAAAGCGCGGGAACCACAACGACCGCAGACGTGTTTTTGCATATTCTTATGTATATCAATATGTATATATATATATGTATACAATGCAAAAGTAATGCATATCATCATCCATCATCCATCATGCATCCATCGTTCATTCATCATTATCCCATCCGATCCGGCATGCCAATCTGAAATATATAGAGTATATATAATCATCCCTTTGGCAAATGCGACGCCTATCCGTAAATATCCAAATCTGCACTCAAAAAAAAACAAGCACCACTGGTCAAGTTGGACCGAGTTCATCTTGCAAGAATGGCACATTCAAGTGCGACTGAGGGAATCATGAAGTCTAAGTGATGCAGATTGATCTTGGATTTGCTTAAGTAGCCCCAAGATGCCCAAAGAATGAACGATACTTCTGGTGATTAAACGATGGAAAATGGCCCGCCGATGATTCACCTACTAAAACTACAACTGCTAGCTTTCCATAGCTATGTTAAACTGCCAGAGGAGAACTGTTTAAATAATGTTTAATATACCCTCTGGTAAACTAATATAGCTATTGAAAATGGTCATTTATAGTTTATAGTGGATTTACCCATAAATCATGGTGAACTTCCATAGTTACGTTAGCTTACCAGAGGGTACAGGTTCCCCAAATATCCCCGATATATTTCACATTGAGGGGAAAGCACTGACGAAGAGAGAACTCGGGCAACTTAATGTCCAATTTGAAGAACACTTGTCTAGGCATATCTTGTACCAATATAAAGCACGCAAACATACACTGCATACATGACATGGCATGACATTATATGACATTACATACACATATCAATATGTATATATCATTATATTATATATATGACTGTCAGAAAATCAATATATATATATGTGCATGTAAATATATATATATATATATATACGCAGTAGCATAGCTCATTATAGATACAGTATATCCCCATGATATGGCCAATGTTTATGGTCGATTCTATAATTTGTTATGCCACTGTTCAAGCCCTAACAAACCTCCGCACCAAGCTACGCAAGCGATTGCGGATCGCATGTGCCTGGCGGCTCTTAAACTGAAGCCCCCAACCAACATCTTCAAAACATCCATTTAATGTGGTAAGCACAATAAAACAAGATTGGTGGGATATTAATTGGATAATAAGGGGATATCAATGGAATATTATATTATAATATATAATTATAATGATATAATACTTGGATATGAATGGAATAGCACTGGTATAATAATGGGATATCACTGGCATGACAATGAAATAATAAAAAAAACTACAGTACCATTTGGGAATGGTTTATACTAGCCATTAATGATGATTTTGGGGATGGATGGGGATGTTGACTTCTTGGGTTTCCCCATAAATTTGGCAGGTCAAATGGTCAAATCATCACTCTGGCCTTCAGCACTATACCACTGCTTGACCCTCACTTTACGTACTTCACATCTCTTACTTGGGGGTGCACTTCCAGCTATGAGTGGATATATAACCATACTTAAAGGGCCCCCATATCATCCCAACTTAACAGAGATTGTCGCCATGGTATCCTAACATGATGTTCCATCCTAACTGCACCCGAAAGTAGGAGTAGAATCTTGAGCCTGGTATCCCCTGGTAGTTTAACATATAGCTATGGAACATCACCATGAACCTGGTAGGAAAAAACATCTATTGACTTTCACGGGCCATCTACATCTATGGCATAGCAAACTGCAACAAATGACCGGAGGCCGGCTGTCTTTTACTACCGGTGAGCCTCCTACAAGTCGATGAATTTCCATCCATCTAGTTCGTTGTATTACCGTCAACACATTCTCAGACTACATCAAAAATCCGATGTGAATCCCATGGCATTCCTATCAAACTTCGAAAATCGACTCCCACTACCTGCAGTTCCAGTTACAAGCTAAATATAACCATATAGTATCATATAGTTCTATATTAGAAGTTTTTTGGAAATATCCCAATTTATGGGGGGTGCCTGGCACAGCACCAGGTCAACGAAAACCACGAACTGCCATCCGACAGGTCGGCGAGCCTCCTGATAACTGAGCCCTTCGAGGCCAGAACGTAAACAGCTCTGCCTTAGGAAGGTGAGCGTTGTTGGCTTTGTATCCCAACGCCGCCAAGAATGGATAGAATGGTCCCAACTGATCCAATATGATCCAATGGAAGCGAGTTTTTTTCTTTTTTAGAATCGGGATCATGATCTGGTTGGTGGTATACCTACCCCTCTGAAAAATGATGGAGTTCGTCAGTTGGGATGATTATTCTCAATATATGTAAAAATAAAAAATACTCCAAACCACCAACCAGTTATTCTATGGAACATAAAATGGTACATCACCACAGCTTTAGTTTCACCACACAACATCGCCGTTTTTCGGCTGAGAAACAACCTTTCAGTGGCTATTGAAATGGTACCTTTGTTTTTTTCCGGAGCTACTGCATCATATTCAGCAAATCCAGGTATATGTACAATGCGTGCCCCCCAATTACACATTGGTTGCAAAACACCCCGTTAACAGTTAACTATAGTTAAAAGTATCATGACATATCATGAACCATAGTTATAGGTAATCCAAAGGTATTCAAGTTATAGTTATAATCTTACCTTATATATACATATGTATAAACCAACTTAGCTTATATCTTATAATCTTACTAATAAGCCAACTTAAGTTATAAACCAACTAGTTGTCCATAGTTATCATCTTATAAACCACAGCTACCTCCATTTTCCAAGCACCAAGCGGCCCTTCCACAGCGAGCTCTGTCTGCCTGCTGCCCTCACTCGCGGCGTCGCCGCCGTCGTCGTCGGTCTTGATTTGGACCAGCCTCGGCGTGGCCAAGCAGAGGTGTGTGGGTCAAAAATGGTCCCACCAAATTTGTTGATTTTATTTTGGGTGAAGTGGTAATTAAATGATATAATGGTAATTATATAAATTGTAATTTGGTGTGTTGATATATGTAAATGGACCCATTTAACATGCTTCAAGTATCCATTTTAGGGATTTTTAGGGGTGTATGTGTATGTATTACCAGAGTTTGAACCCATTCCAGATTCCAGATCATTCCAGAGCAAAGTGGTCGTAAAAAGATGGGCTTCACCAACAAAGAGGATGAAACTATCGACTGAAAAAAGGATTTGCAAAAGGTGTACGAAAAACAAAAAGGGATTGATATCTTGAATCAATGTTTCTTCGAGGCAACATCTGTTTTTTTTGTAGCCAAAAAGTCATGGTTTTTCAACAACTCCAAGCAGCTGCGGTCGCTCCTCTGGTCGTTCCTGCGGCAGCTGCTCGGTACTCCTTAGTGGGATGAGCCCTGGGGGCCCCTGGAGCCAAGTGGGTAAGGGGTGACCCTGGGGTGACCCAGGTGGGTAATGGGATATCAATGGGATTTATAGTGATTTAATGGGATTTATAGTGATATAATGGGATTTTATAGGGATATTAATGGGATTTTATAGTGAGTTAATGGGATTTATAGTGATTTAATGGGATTTTATAGGGATTCCCCTCTGGTAAACAGACAAAAAGCGACATAGAAAATGGCCATAGAAATACTGGATTTACATGGATTTACCCATTAAAAATTGTGAATTTTCCATAGTTATGCTTGTTTACCAGAGGGTAAATTGCTACACTTTTGGCTCTATAGCCACTTGTAATGGGATTGTCATGATATATAACCTCAGTTATAGGAGTTCAAATCCTATTTATAACTGTTAAGGGCCATAACTGCAATCCGCAGGGATACGTATACTGGGTTTGTCCAGTCAGTCATTGCGGCATACCCGTCCTCATGGGCACAGCTTATTAAACGCGTGAAGTCAGTCATTCCTCGAAATGTCAACTAGAAGATACCCAAACACCATGGTCTCACACGTTTCGCAGGGACCTTTTCAGACTAGGTTGATTTCATCGGATTCTCAGCATTTGGACTTCTATAATATTGGCAGTATTGGTCATTTATTAAGCACATTGCATATTTGCATAGTACGGAGTATGTTACACAGCTAGCATGTAGATATAACATAGCTAGCATATTTGGTCAGCAACATGTAAGTTAGTACACGGTTTGTATCTCTCTCTCGCTCTCTCTCTCTCTCTCTCTCGCATATATAGATAGGAGGCTAGTTTTCCCTATGCAGCTGGTACGGTAGAAAATACGCATATAAGACAGTACCACTGGTACATGGGTAATCTAAATAGTAAATAGTAGATTCATATCATAGGTAATAAATGGTAAAATAATAAGTTGGCAGGAGCGGGCTGGACCGAGTGGTAGTGGAATTTGGGGGTGGGAAGGGGGGGGATAGCACTTAGGGGGTAGGAGTAAGAGGGCTGGAGACCAAGTCAAATACAAATATGTATATACGCACATCCCCCTACGCATATGGACCCCAAAAGCGAACAAATCCAATATGAAACCATGGTTTCGATTGGGTGGTATTACTATTAATTAAAATTAAAGGGAAGGACTGGAAGGGATTAATAAAACAATATTGTTTCTATGTGCTTCTTGATGCAACTATGTAGTATGCAAAAATGCCACCAACCTGGCTATGCAGTGGAGGTATTCCCCATGTTGATCAATTTTTAGTCACGCCCAAATCATGTAGAGATATGAATATGCATGCTATTGCATTCATATCCCCATTATATCTGGGTAAATTACAATGTTTCACAAAACAAAAAAATGCCATTTGGGGATGATTCCCCTTACTAACCATCATTCCAGGCTTCGGTCGCAGTGAGGTTGCTATGATATCATTATAGTTTACCCAGATTATATCTTGAGCGCAAATCCATGGCCGAGGATTGCCCATTTCCAAAACACACCGGTCGTTCTCTGTCGTGGCTCAAGTCCTCCGGTAGATCGGCTGTGAGATCTGTCTCCGACCTCCTTTTTGCGCTGGGAGTTCTGTGGGTTGCTGATTGACCCATCTGAGAGGGGAGTCCAACAAGCAATATCATAGATATTTGAATAGATAAGTTATACTAAAATTACCTAATTGCTATGACCTACGACTATAAACATTATATTAATTCGATATTTATACTTCGATATTTTAGCATAACTTAACTACATATAAAATAACATTAACATTACTAAGACAATACACTATGAGCGGGTGATAAATACTTTGTCGTATCAATACTGCATAATAATTCCGTCACCTGAATTAAGGCCCATGTTCTTCTAAAACGGAGCCTATCCCCTGCACGTGGAAAAAACAAAAAGCATTGAGGTCATTTGATGATATTTCACCGACTGACCATCATTCCAGTGACGTCGCAGCGAGGTCATGATAATTTATCCAGCAGAAGTGGGGATAAACACCTTTTCTGCCTGTTGGCTGGTGACATGTCATTTTTAGGCATGGAAAAATTGGAAGAATACTTGCAACACTAAGCAGGGTTTCGTGGAATCTGTAGCACATCTACTGTTGAAGTGTTGAAGATATGATTTTGTCTTAAACCTATACAAATCTATAAAATAAGACGTCAACAACTCTAGGGCCGGATTTGCCTTTGGTGCAAATCTACCAGGTGGTTGCCAAGCTACTGAACTGCCAGTTGAAACACAGCGCATCCCGTTTCCTGCAGGTGACAGGCTCAGGAAACGGTCCGTGACTCCGGGGATTCATCGAAACCACTGGGTCCCATTGGGTGCATGTTCAACCCTACAACTAGGTCCTAGGATGTCCTAGGTGTCCATTCATCTCGAATCCCTTTCAAAACATGGAGCAGATCATCCCGTGGAGCGGTATGTGTTAACCTGGCGATCATAAGTCCCATGGGGTCATGGGTCATCCTATGCTCTTGTTGCCCCAGAATTCATTGGGCGCCTTCATCTCAAATCACTATTAAACAAGGACTCCATAGGACTCCTAGTCCCAGCAAATCCCAGCCCCATAATGGCCATAGCCTCACGGCATTTCATACGTGAAGTCCTCGGCCTCGCCACTGCTCTGGGAAGAGATGTTGGAAATCTTCGAGGTCCGCTCCGTCCGCTCCAGGCTTCGTGCCTCACTTTTGGACTTGCAGCGGGACACCTGAGCGAGTAGGGGGGATGCAAGCTACATCAAGCTACAAATACTGGGATCTAAAGTTGGTTTTAACATGTTTTAACATGTTTTAACGGCTTAACCAACACAACTGGGATTGAATATGATTGAATGGAGGATCAAGCAACAAAAATTGGGACTTCATGAGGATTTAACAAAAAAAAGGAATTAACCAACCAAACGGGGATTTCACTTGATTAGACCAAGACGGACTTGCATTTAACAGAGCAGGACGTAACAGTACTTAACATATATCTTAACATGATTTGACCTGATATTAACATATATATATATTATATATTATATATTATATATATATATATATTGTATACACATATATTACCTTTATATGAGGAATTTACCCTGATGCCTCTTGTAATTAGTTACGGATGGAACATCTATCATATCACTTTGGTACCATAAGTCGCATCGATGATGTACCTCTAGAACAGTGTCTCCCATTGCCCAGTCACGAAGGAGTCTTGCAATTTAACACTTAACTAGTTATACTAGTTGACTGCGCAACTGTTCAACCATCTTTCCAGGAAAATCGCATAGTTGCAGTGGACATCAAATGATTTTCATGGCACTACCAAACCGAAGAATATACGCCACTAAGCTGCTGCTTTTCATGGGAGAATCTGATCATCCCTCCAAACGGATTCTTCAAAGCATGTTCCCACAATAAAACCCGGGTTCGCCCACACGAAAAAACAACACATCCAAGCAATATTATATATGTATCACCAGAGGATGAATGAAAACACTGGCTATACGCAGTGATTTTGACTTTAAGTTTTCAGGATTTAGGGTTTTAATCTTTAATTTAGGGTTTAGGGTTTTAGGGTTTAGGGTTTTAGGTTTTAGGGTTTTAGGGTTTGTTGTTTCGGAAAGTAAAAGAAACTTAAACGCTACGCATGGATTTGAGGATGTCAAAGGATATGCGGGATTCGCCGCTATCCGCATATCCCATGTACTAGTACCTGGTTGTATAAATCATGTGAAATCCCCATAGTTGATAGCCAATCCCACTGACAAGCTACCATTCTTCACTCTGGAACTCAACCCTGAGCCAAGGGTGTAGAATCTTTCGAACCAACAGGACTAGAATGAGTCCAAAACAATCCAAGCAACATCAGGATACGCTTCCAAAAGTTGCTTCCTGCCGAGTGGTTGGACACGGATCCGCAGGAAAGCCGTTGGCGGCGTCAAAAATAGATTGTAAATGTGCAACTGTTGCTTTCCCGGGTCTTGCAACTGTATATATTCCCATCTAATGTGGATATGTTCTACATTGTTCTACTGCATCTTTCATAGTTGCTCATTAGTTTTCATGATGTGTCATCATGTTTTTGCCAGGGTCTGGACTTCGCACGCATGCAAACTATTCATGCTCACTTAAGACATCCCGTTCTATTAAATTCCATAAAATACATCCCTCCCATTATTTCCCTAGTATCTCCGCGTAAAATTGCAAGTTTCTGGGCAATTGCATGGACAATTCTTCTTACAAACACAGACATATATATATATATTATATATATGTATACCCTCCGGCAATCAAACGTTGCAATGGAAAACCCACCATTTATAGATGATGCCCACTAACACATCCATTTCAAGGGGATTTCTCCTTGCCGCGTTTAATGACCGAATGGTTTATAAATGGATTCGTGTGAAAATAGGGTACAGGTTACCCCATTCCATGATGATCATGGTTGATCATAATTTTCCCTCGTTCAAGACCCATTCTTGTGGTGCATTCCATTTTCAGCCACACGCAAGTATCATGTATATACACGTATCTGGCTATCCCATATTGCATCCCATATCATATCCTACAGTATTACTGTATATCCAACTTGTATCCAATTTATTTCATGATCTCCCCATCACATTCCCATCTATGTTTAGGTGTTTATTTATAAACAAGGTCACGCCGCCGTTAGCGGCGCTGGACGTTTTGGCAGCTGGCTTGCAGCAATCTCTGAAAGAATTAAACATGACTTCACCAACATTGACAGTTTCGGATATCAAGGTTTCTCAAAATAAGGACCTCCCAAAATAATTGGTTTCTTACTAGCAAGGATTGATATAAGATGATCTGGGGGTGCCCCTTTTGTTCCACGTGGTGTGCAAGTGCAAATGAACGTTAACATCCCACCCCACCCCAACCCATGCCCCACGTAGCAGCAACGTAGCATCCACGTGGTGTGCAAGTGCAAATGAACGTTAACATCCAACCCCACCCCCCATCCCACCCCTGGCCGTATATGCTGAAAAGTAGTAAACTCCTCTGATATGCTAAAAAGTAGTAAATTCCTCAGCGCCGCTAACGGCGGCGTGAGCATAAAGGTTAGCATCGTGATGGGGTTAGTCACCAAACACACATATAGTTGATGTCCATCCAGTTCCACTTTATAACCCAATTAAAGATACAATCATGGTATATTCCATAATTACAGCCTCCAGTAAACTACCATAATTAACTACGGGGAAATCACAATTTTAATCGTTAGATCATCGCAGTAAATGGCCCAGCCATACTTATCTTGGTATACTAAGAACTGTAAGCCCATCATATCCCGGCTGTAGCCGCATTCTACCACCGTGTTTGATAATAAAATCATGTGAAATCCTGATTTATCTTATTTTAGATGGGTAAATCATCAATCATTTGATAGTTAAATGATGTTAAATGAGTCAAATCATCATTTTGGATGGGTAAATCATGGTAAATCCTCATCAACCCCCCATGGAAATCACATGTTTATGACGTTTCGTTCGCGTGCCATTGATTTTCGCGTACGCCGAGGTGCCGAAAGTCACCCCAGGAGGCGTCCAACCAATGCGCATAGGTCTCCTGGCCATGACGGAACCATCGGGGAACCATTCCATCGCGCAAGGGGGGGATCCGCCATGGGGAATTGTTGATGTGGTTTATTCAATGGGAATTTCAGGATGCTAAAATGGAGGTACTGTACCATATTTTTGGCCATATTTTGGGGGTATTTTCCCATTGATTTATTGATGTTTGTTGAAGTATTCTCTGGGCAAAAATGATGTTCTCTGCCTTGGTCGAAGAATGTCGAAGATGTGAGTTTGAGACCTATGACTTAGTTTGAGACCAATAGACGTGAGGAGTGTGAGCCACAGAAATGAAGAAACAAAGAGCAACGGGGGTGGGATTGAACCGGCATCACAAGTAACATCGCCACCAAATTAAGCAGTAGCAATCAGCAATGAGCATTTGAACGGATCCAAATCAAACAAGTAAAGCTGCAACCATAAAAAATGGACTACATGTTTGATCTGCAAGAAATGGAGGACTGAACTGACTGAACCAACATAAATTCAAATACAATCATGATCAATCATGTCAGTGCGATGCCATGATGCTATCACACATCATATCACCATCAAACTAAAGAAACGAACATGATGCGTGATGTATCCGCAACTCAAAGTGAATCAAAGTGTATCATCATGTTCGCATCAACCTGGGAACAAGTGATACATAGTGATACCATTTTGCCCGTCGCCGACTGTCTTTCTCCTAAAATCCCAACGACGAATCCAAACCCCTGGGAGGTGAATAATTGCTGAGGTGCAGTTTTTGGTGGCAGTTTATCACTTATGAGACTTATGTTAGCAGCAATATCATATAATCAATTATCTATATACAGTAATGTATATATATATATATACTGTGTATATATATATATATGTTTTGTGGGGTAGCCCCAAAATAATCAAACAGGGCCCTGGAAAATCCAGGGTTGACATTCTCCCCATCGCCCTTTGTGGTCTCACCCATGTCACCAAAATGTATAGCCGCTGCAGTTTGCCAAACACCAGAGACCAGAGAGTTCGGTATGTCTTCGTTGGGTTTGCCGCAGTCTGTGACTTCTAAGGTTTGGAAACATGTTTAACATCATAGTAACACCGACAAAAAATGCAAAAAAAATAGAATCCTGCTGAAGTAGTGGAAGATTGATGTAAATTGAATACGGGTCAGCCATAGCTCCTACTTAAAATTTATGACAGCTGCAATGGGGACTAAAATGATGTTGAGATCTTCTAACATCTTCTAACCAACTAATCAGTTGTCATTAGAATCTTCCTAGGGGTGACAAAAACAATGACAGCCTCACCCCGATCCCCCGATGTTTCTCGTTCCGGCCAGGCCTTATCCATCCTTTTTTGGGCGGCGTTTTGTTGCCGATTTTGAGCCGCGCAGCTGCCGATAAGGCAATAGCCGCAGTTGAGAAATGGATTGATGCTACGGTTCATCTGTTGAACAGTTGGGTTGGTCAATGAAACATCTGGTAGTTGGGGGAGCTGCATGGAACTGCTTGATCATGTTCATCAAAGATTACATGTATAGATTATCATAATATAATACTCTAATAAATGGTGGGGTGGGATGGATGAAAACAAAAAGAATTGGAAATGGGGGTCGGCATCCGGCTAGGGTGGAACAAAAAAAACAAATATTGTAAACCATCAACCAGGTATTCAATGGTATTGGGGCGGATTTGACGGAACCATAGCAACAATTAAATGTTCGGCCTTTGCTCTGTCTAGGTTGCCACCCGAAGCATGATCCAAACAACACGTTTTTTGGTGTCTGTTCTTTCTCTAATTGATGACTGGATCCCGCAAAACAATCACACTCAATGAAACCAGGATACAGAATAATCTGATTTGTTTGGTGGAACAATCTTAGTCTTAATCAAATGGGACCCTTCTACCAGGATGAACAATTTCGCAAAATGAAACATTTGCGCGCCCCAAAGTTCAATGGTTCATCATCATGTTCCCCGAAAACATATGACTCTTTGGAGGGCACCCCCACTTCGAACCCCAAATACTACCGTACTCCCCCTGGTCATCCCTGGTCTCAAACCTTCCCAGGTGCTACCCTCCAGCCCTGCACGTTGCAGCTCCTCGAAGCCCGGTCGCGTCGCATGGCGCGTCCGTTCTCACGAACGCACAGCCCCGGCTGGACAGCTGTCAGCTTTCGCTTGATCAGGATGCGGGCGACAGAAAATGAGATACAATAAATATGTGTATATATATATAGATAGTCAAAAGAACTAGTTGATATACATATGTATATAATTATAAAATTGTATATGTGTGCATGCAGAATTGTATGTATGTATGTATGAATGAATGAATGAATGTATGTATGTAATGCAATGTTATGTTATGTGACTGTAATACAATGCAATGTAAATGTAAGGTCATGTAAATGTAATGTATTGCAAATGTAATGTAATGTAATGTAATGTAATGTAAATGTGGTTTAATGTAAAATAATTACGTATGTATGTATGAATGAATGAATGAATGGATGGATGGATGGATGAATGAATGAATGAATGTATGGATGCATGCATGTATGCATGCATGCATCTATCTATCTATCTATCTATCTATCTATCTCTATCTCTATCTATGTATCTACCTATCTATCTATCTACCTACCTACCTATCTATCTATCTATCGTGTTTATCTATCTATCGTGTTTATCTATCTATCGTGTTTATCTATCTATCGGGTTTATCTATCTATTGTGTTTATCTATCTATCGTGTTTATCTCTCTATATTGTTTCTCTATTTATCTATCTATCTATCTATCCATCTATCCATCTATCCATCTATCCATCTATCCATCTATCTGTCTGTCTGTCTGCCTATCTATCTATCTATCTATCGTGTTTATCTATCTATCGTCTTTATCTATCTATCGGGTTTATCTATCTATTGTGTTTATCTATCTATCGTGTTTATCTCTCTATATTGTTTGTCTATTTATCTATCTATCTATCTATCTAATCTATCTAATCTAACTATCTATCTATCTAATCTAACTATCTATCTAACTATCTATCTATCTATGTATTTATCTATGTATCTATGTATCTGTGTATCTATGTGCCCTTACCTAATCTACCATAGCCATAGCTATGAGGAATCACGATACTTAATAGGTGCATCATCTTTTTGGAAAAATGGGCCATTGTCCATAGCCATGTCAAATCCCTGAAGGGTATCAATGCCTGCTACCTGGTGAACCCCCAAGTAGCTGGCAAATCAATGTTCATTAAAAAAACATGATATATATATATATATATATATATCATTATATATCATTATACATGTGGACCAACTGGCTGAAGGATGTGGAAAGCGAACCGAACTCCAGTTTCTCTCGCAGCATTCCTTCGATAGCAAACCTTTCAGTGATCTCTTGCGTATTCCAGGTCCAGGGGAATTCTCGGGTCAAATCACATACCTCAGGATTTTCTAACTGGAGCAAATTGAAATGAATACCAAGAAAACAAGCATCACGTGCTTTTTCCAGTTGAACCCGCATGTCTACAAGGAAGCACATCTGTTTTTTTCCTTGAAACACCTTGAATCTACTTCATGCATGTCATATCGACCATTATAAGCTCCTTGGATTGGCTTATGGGGCCCAGGAGAAATAAAACATCTTGGATTTCCCATGTGGAAAAACAACAAACTTCCCACGAAGCAAACCATGGTACCCCAGTATCCAATGGCCAATCAACATATCCCAATTTAAATGCTAATTTTGTGGGCGCACCCCGTTTGTCAAAGACAACATGCAAAACCATACCACATACTACAAAAAATGTTATATATATAATGTATAATATAAAATAAAAATGTACTATAATGTATAATATAAAATATTATACTATAATATTATATGATATAATATTTGAATTATTGAATCATATCATATCTTATTATATCAAATCAAATTATATTGAATTATATATATATATATATTAAAATTTATTAAATCATGTTTTAATCAGTTATTTTAAATTAGATAGCATTATACCACATAGAAAACAATATTATATTATACGGTTTTATATGTATGTTATATGGTTTATGACGTTATAAATGTTGTATTATATTATACTATATTATATTATATTATTTTGGGGTAAACGGTATTATATTATATTATATTATATTCTATTATATTATACTCTATATATATATATGTATATATATATATATTGTAAAATATTATGTTACATTATATTAAAGTTAAAATATAAATGTGTATATATAAATATTGCTATACTATATTATGTTATGTTATACTTCATTAATATATATATATATATATCAATTACATATATATATATATATATAACATACCCAAAAAGTTATCCCCATGATCTCTCCATGTATTGTGGTCTTGTACTCCATTGTTGATTCCCATTCTTCATTGATTATAAATCCTTTTGTGATGGTTTAAATCACTCTTTCGGAATGCACAATTCCCATGAAACCAGCACTTCTAGATTCTGTATGTATATCTCATACGCTCCATCCCATACCCTCCAGTAAACTAACATGGGTCATGGAAAATCAATGAAAATCGACCGTTTGCAGATCACGTGCAGGGGGCCACGGGTTTCCATAGCTTTTCATATGTTTTGCACAGGACCTTTCTGGATAAACCAGCGTTTCGGGGGCCCACCATTGTAGTAAAACTCAGTAAAACCGGCATTTCCTCCAGTTAAATCACATAATGTCCTGCTTAAATCATCATTTTTTATCGTGAAATCAGCAGTGATCTTCATCAAATCATCATATTCCCCAGCTAGGCCCTAGCTAAATGTCCCATTGCGCTGGTTTCATCATCATATGCCTCAATCAAATCACGATTTTCCGTGAAATCACCATTTTCCCCAACGAAATCATCATATTCCCTTCAATCACCACCAGCTATCAAACCACCAAACAGCGCCATTCCCAACCTCAGGCGTCCCCCCACCGGCGTCAACCAGGAGCCGCTGGAGCCAGAAATTTCCGTTGCCATGTGACTGACCGG